CACCTGTAACGCCCCATTTTTCTGTGTCTGAAATAGTAGTTTACCGGTGTGTGAATAGTACCACCAGTCCAGTAAGTCGGTATTATTTTGGTCCGAAAAAATTACTATGTATCTATCTAACATGAACTTCTTTCTTCTTCTCCTCCATTTTAACTTTAGCCTCTCTTTCTCTTCTCTTTGTTTTCTTCACTTATACTCACAAAATCCACCAATTTGACACCATTCAACTTGATCTAAGTGAATTCTATTTGGATGGAACTACCAAATTCTTATGGATAAATGGTTAAGTTAGAATAGTCCATATGGCACATTGCATGAGTTGCATAACTTTATGATTTGTGCATGACTACTTTTATGTATTGAGAGTCTTCTTAAATTCATAATGTAAGCTATACTTATGTCATATATATAAAATAATTAAGTATCCTTTGTTTATCAAATTCCTACTTATCCAAACACTCAAATCAAGCCAATTCAAAACCAGAAAAGTAATCAATCTTTGAGATTAAAGCTTGAGAAATGATATTTGGTGAATAATTTCAAGTAATTTGGAGGACAAAGGGTGGAGAATTTCCTACCAAAGACAAGGGAAAACTAAGGCTTAAAAGAGTCTTATTTAAGCTTGTTAGAGCTTATGTTTAAGGTTAGTGTTCATAAACACTCTTATATTCTTATAGTATTTCTGTATGATTTTTATCCAATGTATATATATATATATATATTTTATCCAATGTATATATATATATATATATAAATGCAAAGAAAATGACATGAAATTTCTATTATAAAAAAAATTTACTCGCTAAACTTGTGAATACTAAGTTACTTCAAATTCATAATTTAAGTTAAGACGGTGTCTCCGGCACCGAATGTGACATCCGCCGTCGGATCTCTCGGGACAGGTGGCGGGTGTTACAGCACCCGGGGAGCCAATCCCCCATACCTGGCCGACTGGTCTAATCCTCACATTACCAGTCCTCTCATTGTTTTTACATTCTCTCTTTTCTTTTCCATACCAACAGGAGGCAACCAATTCGTCTCCGTCAAATCTAGATCATCATGTGCACACAACAGGAGGCCACCCTGTGGGCTTCCATGAAATCCAAATTATTAGGTGCACACGACAGGAGGCCACCCTATGGTTTCTATATAATCCATATCATCAGGTGCACACGGGGCACCGATCTCCCATTTCATAATTTCATCATATTCAGGATCCACGCTTTATCGACCGTCCTCACAAACTCATGGTGATCCATTTCATTCCAATTCCACACAAACAAGGCACAGTAATATCACAACACAAGTAATCAAGCAAATTTTAATCGCAACAATAGTGCAGCACAACATAGCAATTTAACAAATGCATGATAACATTTAGCCGCGAATGCATGAATGCAAAGATGCAAGCGGATGATACTAGTTATCTAACACTACTCACAGTTTTTTATTGTCCTTTAAAGGACTATCTTTATTACTGCACGCTTCCAGCATTTGTCCAGCTTCCAGCATTTGGTCTTCACCTTTGGGGACTTTTAGAACATCTAAAACTAAATAAGAAAATTCTAAAATTAAACGGTCTAATTCGAGCAATGTATCTTACCTCAATTATTAGTTTTGGTTTCTAGTCAGCCTTTACTCACATATCAAAAACTAAAACTGTTATTTTATATATATATAATGTTTCTCTTATTTTATTTATTTATTCTAATTTATAACCTTTAAATCCAATCTTCTAATATAAATAATAATAATAATTAAGAATAAATAATATTAAATGCTGATACTATTCGTTTAAGTAGTATTTTATCGGGAGAATAAATATAATAATAAATAATAATAATAAAATAATATTAATAGTAATATTACTAATATAATAATATACCAATTAAATTTTACTTTAAAATTTTACTTTATATTAACCTACAAGCATATTTCCATAATACCATAAATTATAATTCCTCCTATTTATATTTCTTAAAATTTTGAAAATTAACTTATATAATTATTAGTAATATATTTAACAATGTTATAACTAATATTCATGAACTATATTTAATAATGTTCAATTCAATTCACTTAAATACTCAATTAAATTCATTAATTAATTAATTCAGAATTTATATGAAAATTGCAAATTGAGTCTTAAAGTATACCGATTGAAAATCCGAAGACGAATCCATAATCGACGCGAGGAGAGGAAAAAATCTGTCTCTTGGTGCCACGCCAGCTGGTCACCGGACCGCTGTCGCCGCCATGCACGGTGGCCGGTAAATCGATCTTGCCCAGAAATTCGCCAGGATCATACCATTCAACTCGAAATTGACCAAAGATTCTATTTCTAGTGTTAATTTAGTGAGACCGGTCCTCTAATTGGCCGGATCGGGCCCGATAGCCGCTGCACCTCCGCGCACTATTGCTCCTCAAAACCTCGGTGAAGTCGCAAATTTATGGAGGGAAAATGCTCTAGAGGTGATTAGGAGTCGATTGGCACCCTTCCCGTCGCTTGAGATCGACTGAACGGTGAGATTTCGTCTGAAAATAGAAGAGCAAGGTGCGGTTTGCAGAAGCAGGTCCGATAGCGCCGCTGGAGCTCCTTTCGCTTGAGAGGAGGCTGGAAACGCAGTCAACGGCACACGGTGAGTCATTCGTCACCTCGTGCTAGTCGTGCGGTGGCCGGAAACGCAGTGCAAGGGGGGAAGAGGAGGCTATCGCGTGTTGGAGGAAGAAGAAGGAGAAGAAAGAAAAGATGGTTCTAGAGAACTCTGGGCCATTCCGATTCGATTCGAACCGATTTGGTTCAATTTAATGATTTGGCCCGATTTTTGTTTGGTTATCTGGTTTTTCTCTTGGTTTCCGAAAACTTTAAGCCGATTTACGGTTCCTATTTAACAATAATTAAATATTTGATGTATAACCCCATTTTATTGTTATTAGTTCGATTTATTTTCCAATGATTTTCAAGCGGTTTGATTGATTTAATAGATTTAATCCAATTTATATCTTTCTTCAATTTACTCAACATATTTGCATCATATATTACAGTTTAGAATGATTGAGTCAAGTGGTAAATATAACCTTATTATTATTTTAAATGATTCCATATTTATTCTCGAGAAGTCTAAATTATTTTCGACTAGAAGTTCAGATAATTTGTTTTGGACTTAAGTCCAACTCGCAAATTAAGTCCAGATTAAAATTGCTCGCTACTTACAGCCCATACCGTCACAAATTCAGATTTTTAATTTATTAAAAATTCAAAAGTTTTGAAAATAAAATTCGGGGTATTTCAGTAAATTATTGTAATTCAACTTATATAGTTTTTTTTTTTTTTTTTTTCAACTTATAATAGTTTTTTTTTTTTTTTTGCTCTTTAAAATTTCTCAATATGGTTTCAAATTAGATGAGGTATTATAAGAATATTTAATTTTAATGAAATAAATTTTACAGTGAATTGAAATTCAACATTATTTTAATTTCATTGTTTAATGTAACAACATTATTATTCATTTTTATCAAATAAAAGCTTTATTATAACTCCATTAAGTTTTATTTGATAGAAAAAATTAGTTTATAAAAAAATTTAATAATTAACATGTAAAAAAAATTAATTAAATTTATAATAAAATTATTCATTATAATTATTACATTGTAAGTCCAATATTTATAAAATATTTTAAAATATTATTAATTATAATAAAAATAAAATGTCACATCATCGGTTTCATATTCTAATATATTGCTATATAAGTTTTTATATCTTAAAAAATTATATATTTATATAGATAGATAGTATAGGATCCATACAATTAGAGATGCAATGAATCGCCTTCAAAATTTAAAAAAAAAAACATTAAAATTTTTAATAAAGTTTGGCCATTTAGATGTCAATTCACCCAGAGAGAAAAGCGTTAGGGACATTTCCACTAACTAACCCAACAATTAATACCGCTATGAAATGGCGTTAAGGATCTATTAAGGTCATTTTCAATTTCTAGATTTGCATGTTTATAGGTTGCAATCGTATCTGTTAGGGTTTGAGACAAACAAATCTCATTTATATCATTTTTCTTTATTGCTCATTTGTAATTTTCTTTGATATGATGTTCGTTGAAAGTGAAACACCCCGAATTTTTAATTTTGAAACCTCTGAATTTTTATTAAATCAAAAATCAGAAATTTTGATCGTGTGGGCTGCAATTAGAATAAAAATCCCAATTCGAGCCCAAGTTTGCGAGAGCCCAAAGTGTTGCGAGATGGCCAAGCCCAAACATATCATCAGAAGTTTCGATTTCGAAAATAGTTAAAAATTTTTCAAAAAAGAAATAATATGAAACTTCAAAGCAATTTTAATAATGAATATATTAAATTAATTATCCTAAAAATCAAATATCATTATTCTATTAATATTTGTTAATATTTGTAATTTTTGTTGAGTAAATGGAGAAAAAGTTAAGGAACCTAAGTAAAATAATTAAAAATAAATCGAACCGGACCCAGAAATCAAATAAATTTTCGAAACCATGCGAATAACCTAAAAACCAAGTGAAAAACCAGATAACAAAATAAAAATCGAGCTAAATCGCTGAATTGAATCAAACCGGTTCGAATCGAACTGAAATGACCCAGATTTTTCTAGAACCGCCTTTCTTTCTCTTTTCTTTCTTCTTCCCCTTCTTCTTTCGGGCGCGCGACAGCTCCTCCTCTTCCCTCTCCTTCTCACTTCCGGCCACCGTTCGAGAAGAATGAAGTGGCGATCGATTCCTTTGGCGATACTGGGCACGATTCCAGTCTTCCCTCGCTCCGATCGGACCTCCAGTGGCGCAAATATGGCTATGGCCTCAATCTTCTTTTCGCGATGCAGCTGCAACTCCGGCGAGATCGAGCGATCCCGGCGACGTGAAAGCTTCAAGGTGAGCTCCGATCGACTCCTCCATCCTGTGTGAACGTTTTTCCATCCAACATAACGAGCAGTCTTTAGTGGAAGAAATCGAAAACACATGGTCGCCCGGCAAGGAAGGACTGTCCGGGCTTGTTCCGGTCCAAACGAGCCACTAGCTCAACAAACTGATTGGTAAAAATTTGGACCATCCTCACGAAAATGGAGTCGGGTGGTGGCAACCTTGCAACTTTCTGGCATTCGCGACTTTCCGGCACCGTGCACAAGCGGGGGCGGCGGCGGTCCGTGTGACCGGTCCGGCGAACTCCGGCGAGGCCCTCGAGAGCCCGAGAGACAGAATGTTCCTCTCTTCACGTTGATCACGGAATCGTCGCCCGATTCCCAATTGGTACGTTCTAAGACTCAATTCTCAATTTTTGTATATAAAGAATTAATTGATTAATAAATTTAATTGAGTTATTAAATAGACTAAATTGAATAACAAGAAATTAGGTTATTGGATTAGCTTAAAAATATATGAACATTTATAGTCTTTTGTAAAAAAATTAGATTGATTAGTGTGCGTATTTGGATAGCAAACATGACTTGTTAACTGTTAACTGGTTTAGGATTTTAGAATAATGTAATTGTAAATTAGTTTAGAACATTGTCAAATAAATTACATGATTATTATTATAATTAGGTGATTTGAGGAGAAAATAAATTAGAATTAGTTAGTTAGTCAATTAGATAACCATTAGTTTAAAACTAGCCGATTGTGCATAAGAGTAGTAAGGCGAATTTTAGTTGGTTAACGGTTAGAATCGAAATTTTGATAAATTAAGATTTGGGAGGCCTAGCCATTTTCGATATTGATATAAAAATCGAATTTTAATAGGCAGTAGTTATAATTAGTTATTGTTAAAATATGTTTTTAGCTGCTTAACGAATTAGTTACCGTAAAGCTAATAATTTAATTAACTAATGACTTAATAAATGATCTTATATGGATATTATTAGAATTAAATATGTAAATTTTTTTTGTTGGGTGTTGATATTGTTGTTATGGAAGGAGGATGGGATTTTAAATTGATTGATTGCCCGACGGATGGGCTGTGTGTATTGATTGACAAATATAGAATAATATTGTGTTATCTAAACAGGTGGATAGTCCAATTTTTAGGGGAGATGCTGCCGAAATATAGTCCAATTTTTAGGGGAGGAGCTGCCGAAATTTCCATAAAACTTAGACTAGTTTTAATTAATAATATAATTAATAAGTTTATCTAGATTAATTCTATAATTTAATACATAATAAACAGAGTGCTCTAATTATTTTTATCATCATTATTCATTTAATTATTACTTGGTTTATTTTCGATTATTATTGTTTATTATTATTATTTATTTTATCGTTTGTCGTTATTGTTAATACTTATTTATTTATTTATTTATTTATTTTTTGCATGATATGATTGTCTAATTGTGCATTGCGTTTCGATTGTTTAAATTGATCAATATGGTCTGCATTTAATTGCAATAACTTGATTACTTGTGTTGTGGTATATGCTTATGCGCTTTGTTTTGTGTGAATTGGGATGAAGTGGGACCACCATGGTTTTGTGAGGACGGTCTGTGATATGGATCCTGAATATGATTTATGATATCTGACGTTGGCCGGGAAAAATGATCGAGCATCGGGCCCCCTTGTGCACCTGATGATATTTAGATTATATGGAAATTCACAGGATTGGCTTCTTGTTGTTGCGCACTTGATGATCTAGATTTGATTGAGCCCGCAGGCGTGCGCATCCTGTTGTTGAGCACTTTGATGATCTAGATTTGGATGGAGACCACGAGTTTGCCTCCTGTTTTGGTATGGAAAAAGAAAGAGAGATATGGAAAAAAATAATGAGAGGACTGGTCAGTTGAGGATAGTTAGAAGCAGTTGGCGTCTTAATGGGGGGATCGGCTCCCTGGTGCACCATGGTATGATGAGGGCGTGTATGAGAGGGCGAGCCATGTGTGAGGACGGCTCGTTGGGGTTTCAGGTGGCGCCACTGACTAATTTCCACGTGATATGATTACATGAAGGTGATGACAGTTGTGAGTGCTGGTGATATGCCATTTGTGTGACTGGCTGCGTGAGCATATAACTAGTCGGATGACTAGATTAAAATGTGTACACATTTGTGTGACTGCGTGTGTTGTGCAATAATTAATACTCCTTAGAAAACTCACATGTCTTGTTTAAATTTTTCAGGAAGTAAGTTTCTCTTTCGGTTTAAGCTATTTTTCTTCGCCGCAGGGTTATAAAGAAGTTTTCCTAGTTCCATAATTATATTGCTATGTAATTATATGTATAAGAAGCTATGTATAACAAACAGTTAGTGACTCCGCAGTTGTAGAATTTTTACAGTACATCTAGTCGTTAGGTAATAAAAATGAAGTAATTCTGCTTAGCCCATATAAAATGTGTTGTATTATAGTATAGGGCCTCGGAACATGTGAAATGTTGAAGATTGATAAAATTGGGCCGAGATATAATTAAAAATTTGAGGTATTATTTTTACATTATTTAATTAGGCTGAATTGATATATGAAGTATATATTGAAATAATAGATTTTAGTGATTCAGTTACTACGGGCCTCGGGATTTTAGTGATTCAGGCTTACTACGGGCCTCGGGGGCCTTAAGCTTACCTGGGCCCTAGTGCCGGTCCGGCCCATGGAAATGGGTCGTGACAGAAAGATTTCGTAACTATGGATTTTTATTAGCAAGTTAATTGATATGACATTGATCGGAATATTTATAACATTTTTGTCAAAAATATTATCGAGACCTTTCACTCTCCACATTTTCTCTATTGTGTAAAAAAATGAATCAGATTATACTAAATGGTGTTAAATTTTAATGTTTAATTAGTAGTTTATCAGAAAAAATAAATTTTTTAATATTTATGTCTTATTTTTTACTTTTTAACATTCATGACAGTATTTTCTTGTCTCGAAAATTGAAAAAATTAGATTTCTATAGAAAATAAGAGATTTTAAAATTATATAACAATATTTATTTATTCCAAAATATAATTCGTTTTTGTGCGATTATTTTGTTCCAGATTATAAGTCATTTTAAGTATTTTAAGGAGTAATAAATGATGTTTTTTCAATGTTAACCTTATAGAATAACTACTTTCACAAGAGTAACTATTTGACCAAATTATCATTGATTTTGTTATATTAGGAACATTAATTGCTTCCTTGATCGTTGTAAAAAAACTTAAATATATTTTATTTTGGGACAGAGGAAGTAATATTAATTGTCATAACTATGCTATTTTTTTAGAAAATTTTTATAATTATGTTATGATAATTACACTTTTTTATAATAATTTCTTGGAATTCTATTTTTCTTGGAAAATATTTTTCCATAAAAATTGAATTCCGATGAATAAATTCATCTTACCTCATAATAGTTAAAATATTCAATTTTATTTAATATATTAGATTTTTTAAAAAAATACTAAATCAAACTATTAGGATAAACTTGCAAATTTTACAGTATGAAGGATCTTACATATATGAGTTCGGCCTACGAGATTATCAAATCTATATTGGTTGGCCTTTTTGCCTATTGTAATATCAGTTAAAGTTAGGGGTTGGGACAAATTGGGCTGAGCTAAACTCTCATGCACGCTGAAGTGCCTATATTGGATCCAAAAATAATCATATCGTGCTATTGCTATTAATCCGTTACTTAATAGTCACTTATACTCACTGTATTCTTTTTTTTTTTTTTGGGTATAATCGAGAGATGTAATTCACTTTGAGCGTAAATGTTGTTTTGCGCTCCTAATAAAGTGCAGAGCACGCTTTTCGATTATTGAACTTGTGTTCTCACTTTTTCGAAGATTGAAGTTACTTACTATTTCAACTAACACATTATTGATAATATTTATTTAATAAATCTAATAACGAACGATTAAAGAAAAAAAAGATTACACATGTCTTTTTACTATACCAAAAAATAAAATAGCAATGTGGTTTAGTTAATCTTTTCACATAACTGTGAGGAGAATGAGTTCTGAGTCTTTTCAAACACAAAAGTATTTGCTAATTATTATGAAATTGTAAAGATATTTCTACGGTAATTCATGACTGAACGGAGAAAATTTGTACCATATATAATTAAATAGTGGGCCAAAATAGTAAATATAACATTGTAAATTCTTACGGGTCAATTTCAGTGACCTGGAACGGAGAAAACTTGTGTCCATATATTATTAAATTAGTGGGCCAAAATGAGTAAAATATAAACCATGTTTGTAAAGGATAGTCAAACCTGGTTGAAAAGACAAACGACGAAAGGAACAACGTGAACATTTACATAGACATCCATATGTCCAATTTAGTCAAAAGTTTGATTTTTTAGTTAAAAAAATTTATCGCTTTGTTAAAGGGTTCAAAAAAAACAGTGTGTGGTAGACCCATTTTTTATCATCTTTCCCAACTTCTTTTAATTTTATTATTTTTGTTTTCAATTTAAAATTATTAAGGCATTTTAAAATTATAAGCATTTTTAGGGTTTCTTAAAGGGAAAGAAATTTCATTGTTAAGAGAAGAATATAACAAAATAACAATAAAAAGATGTAGCAATATAATAAAAGAGGAGAGAGCGATGAGAGGAAGAAGACGTAGCTTTAAGATGAGATGAAGTTTGAGAATATTGATCTATTAAGGCTCCATTTGTTTCTGTTAAATAATTTGTATGAAAATATTTTTTACAATTTTTTATTCTTGGTCAACAAAGGAAAATTAAGTCATTTTTAAGGAAAGTTTTAAAATTTTGCATTCTTCTTATATTTAACAATAAAATTTTTAAAATAGAAAATTTATATTATTATTAATATTTTTATGGTCTTATGAGTTAAAATTTTAATATTTTTAACTAATTTTAAATATTACAAATGACGAAAAAAAATCATTTGAAAAATATTTTTCAAGAAAAAACATCATGTCTTCCCAAAATAAACGTAACCTATGGTGTTATGTCTTTCTTTCTCCTTCCATGTATAATTATAAAATATTTCCTTCAATTTTCTTTTTTGACTATTGCAATAATGGTGTTCATATTGTATCTTTCTTTGCAATAATGGTGTTCATATTGTATCTTTCTTCCCCCTTTTCCTCCCTCTTTCCATGTATAAATACAAAATATTCTCAATAATTTTCTTTTTTGCCTATTAAAATTATGGGATCGAGGAATATATATATTAATAATTAATCTATTAAAGTAAATTTATATAATAAGTTACCTATCATACATTATATCATTTCAAATGATAAATTTAATGTGTATAATGGGAAGTGATTATATTTTGATTATTTAAACATTAACCACGTTAACGGTGGATTGTTTGATTTTTGAGCAACTAAATAAATTTTTGAGCAACTAAATAAATAAATTAATATAATATTTTTTATGCTTGAAATAAATCTTGAAAATTTCAAATTATAACAAAGAGTTACATAATTATCTAATTATCATTTATAAAAAATTATTAGATTATGATTGTGAGGTCAATTTTCCTCAGTACTTGTACTATGATTTTTATACTTATCAGCAATTGGATTCAATTGAAATAACTTTTACAAGTGAGCAATAAACTGTAATTAGACACATCAAGCGAAGCGCCAAACACGGCACATGAGATCCGCTCACACGCGCTAAATTGTCTCTCTTTTTTGCTTTACTCTCGCATCGCCTCACGTTTCTCTCTTTCCCACTTCCGCTCACTCACTTTCCTAAAGCTTCTTTGAAGTTTCTGTGATGATGATTCTCAAATCTCAATGGTTAAGCTTTATATATACTCTTCTACGTTTTATAATCTTCTACGTTTTATTAAAACTCGCCCTTTCTACGGCTTCTTCGTATCATTGGGAATTCTTCCATTATTGAGTTCTTCTTTCTCTTCTTTTCTGCTTCAACCTCTCTCCCAGCGAACCCCTTTCTTATTATTAATTCTATTGCTTGTTCTTCTCCTTCCCTCAACTTCTTCCAGAAAACCCCTTTCCGAGCTAAATAACATATGAAGGTTTTTACTTAATTTCAGAGGGCAAAGACATCCGCGACGGTTTTCTCTCCTTCTCTTTGAATCTTTGAAGGCCAAAAGGAATCGATACCTTTCAAGGATTGAAAACTTTTTCAAAAAGGAACTGAAATAATCACAGCCCTTCAAGCAAACAATTCAAGAATCATGTATTTACAATTCAAGAATCATGTATTTCAATCGTCATATTCTCCAAAAACTATGCAGATTCTCCATGGTGCTTGGACGAGCTTGTTGTGATAAATGAATGCAGAGAAAAGTCGGGGCAAATAGTTTTGCCGGTTTTTTACCGTGTAGATCCAACTGATGTTCAAGAGCTGAGAGGCCCTTTCGCAAGGGCGCTTGCTAGGCTTTTAAAAGATCACAGCGATAGTTCACACAACCTGGGTGGATGGTGCCATGCTTTGAAGACAATCAGCAACGACTTAAGTGCTTTTGTTTCGAATGAGATCAAGTAAAGTTATCATTTTCCCCTGTTCACTTTTCCATGTCTTTTTATTTTCTATTCATCAATAATAGATCAATCTTGCGCACACGATAGATGGCTTTTAGTCACGATATGTACTCCTTTGAACTCTCACTTATTTTTATTTTCTTGTTAAAATTCTGTTTCATTTTCTCCTATTCCTTCAATCATTGGATTTACCCACCCAGTTTTTCAAAACACTTACTTGATTCTATTCTAGAATATATAAGTTTTGGCTTACTTTTTGTTTTTCATATGTGATCAGAAATGACCAAATGCTAGTTCAAAGAATCGTCAATCGTGTTAAATAATTCGTCAATTCGTGTTCGCGCTCTTAAGTCATAGCCATCAAATTGCTAGTTCCATGACAGTTAGTTGGAATGATTCGCGTGTCGAGAAGTAAATATCGTTATTGGATTATGATGTAAAATGACGAGAAATTGGAACAATAGAATTTGCGGGAATGGCTAGATTGGAAAGACAACTCTTTCTGGTATTGGAAAGACAACTCTTGCCGGTACAGTGTTTTCCCAAATCAAGGCTAAATTTGATGCCCACTGCGTTGTTTCAAATGTCAAGGAACAGATAAGGAAGGAAACAGCAATTGTTTTACGGGATAAAATCATTCGTTCACTAGTGGGAGACGAATATTTAAAAATAGGCTTACCACTTTTAGTTTTAGATGATTGGATTATGAGAAGACTGCAAAAAAAGAAAGTTCTTATTGTTTTTGATGACGTTGATGATTCAAACGATTTAGATCTTTTAGCTGGAAACAGTACTTTGTACCGTAAGGGAAGTAGAATCATTATAATTAGTACAGATAGACAAGTACTTCAAAATGTTTGTCATGAAGAACATATTTATCAGGTTAAGGGATTAAGTTATAAGGAAGCTCTTCTACTCTTTAGCTTGCACGCTTTCCATCAAAATGAACCGAAAGAAGGATATGTTGTGCTATCCCAGCAGGTGACAAGTTATACTCAAGGCAATCCATTAGCACTAAAAGTTTTAGGCTCTAGCCTTTATGGCAAGGAGAAAGAGTACTGGGAGAGCCAGTTGCTCAAATTGAAGAGTGAACTGGAGAGCCAGTTGCTGCAAGATTGAAAAGCCAGTCGCCCGAAACAAGGACCGAACAAGAGAATTCAAGATGTTCTAAAAATAAGTTATGATGGGTTAGATAGAAATGAGCAGAGCATATTTCTGGATATTGCATGTTTCTTTGGAAAAGGAATTACAGTAAATAAGCTTGAAAAAATAATAGAAAGTTTTGGTTTCTTTGCGAGATGTGGAATAAGGAGTCTCATTGATAAATCTCTCATCACCGGTGAACGTAATTATGTTATAGTAGAAATGCATAACTTACTACAACAAATGGGAAAGGAGATTGTAAATGAGGAATGCAAACAGCCTTGAGGACGTAGTAGGCTGTGGAATACTGAGGACATTTCTCATGTATTCAAAACAAATACAGTAAGGAGCAAAATTTGCTACATTTTTCTTTTGTTATTTTTTTTATATTTGAATAATTGGAATTTGAACTTACCGCTCCACATTATTAGTGATGATTCCAATAGCTTTTATTTTTAAATATTTTATACTCAATTACCTATTTTCATTTGTTGTTACCTATTTTCATTTGTTGTTCATTTATCAGGGAACTGATAAGATTGAGTGCATTTCGCTTGAGACGATGTATAATGAACGACGTATTGAGATAAGTACCAAAACTTTCATGAAGATGCCTAATCTTAGATTCCTCAGAATCTATGGTTTCCAATGTAATTTGCCTGATGGCCTTGATTTATTTCTTCCAGAAGAGCTAAGATTTTTCTATTGGAACAATTACCCTTTGAAATCGTTGCCGTTGAAGTTTTGCCCAAATAACCTTGTACAATTTCACTTGCCTGGCAGCCAACTCAAACAATTACCCTTTGAAATCGTTGCCGTTGAAGTTTTGCCCAAATAACCTTGTACAATTTCACTTGCCTGGCAGCCAACTCAAACAACTGTGGGATGGAGATAATAAGGTATATTTCCTAAACTTTAATATTTGTATTTGGTGTAAATGAACTTATAACATAATAAGATGTAGTTTGATAACAACTTGTATTTAGTTGAGTTAAAATTTATAAAATGGTTTGATTTAAACTTAGAGGGGCGAAAATTTATAAAGTGAGATTACAAAAGAGTATCATAAAAAGAAATAATATGTTTTAATCATTAAACTAATGCTTATTCTTAAACTGAAGAAATTCAAATGTTGAGAATATACTTTGACTTATTTAAATATCAGAAGATGTGTTAATCTTTACCCTTACAGCAACAACAAATAGAAACTATCTAGACATAAGTTTATTAATCTTCATACTTTAAATTGGCTTATTTTAATTTTGGTATGTGTACAGGAAATTATATGAAAATACAATTTTTAGAATTTATTTTTTGTATTATTTGATTAAATAAACAAATAAATAAATAACTACTTTTGAATTGTAAAATAATTATTTTGTGAGTATTTGGCTTTATGTTTTAGTTATTGTAAATTCAAAATAAATAATAAGAATACTAAAAATATAAATATAAATATAAATTATGCTTTTAATAAGATAATATCAGACTTGGTTACAAGGTACAACAATCAAGAGATTTTCCACAAGCTACATTCCACATTGATCATTTTCTCAAAAAATATATATAAGATAAAATTTTTTAGACATGGGGGCCATGGTCCCCTGCTAGCCAGTAGCCACTCCGTGGTTCCACCATTGGATGAGTAGTGAAATTATTTTTTTTTTCCGATAAATAACAAATATATGTAAAACATGAAATTTTAATAATTCATCTTTTTGCTCTTTTTATTACAGCCTTTTAAAAGTTTGGAAGTTATGAACCTCCACAGCTCTCTGTCTTTATTGAGAATTTCGGACCCATTTCAAGCCCCAAACCTTGAGGTATTATGTTTGTCAAGTTGTAGCAGTTTAACCATTTCAAGCCCCAAACCTTGAGGTATTATGTTTGTCAAGTTGTAGCAGTTTAATTGAGATTCCTTCATCTCTTAAATATTCAACCAAGCTTGTTGGGCTACACTTAGAGGACTGTGAAAGTATTCGCAGTTTGCCAAGCTTCCTTCAGTTAGAAAATCTTGAGATTCTTAATCTTAAAGGTTGCAGTAAACTTGAAGAATGTCCAGAGCTTCCTTGCAATTTAAGGGAGTTAAATTTAAGTAAAACTGCAATAAAACAATTGCCTTCATCAATTGGACATTGCTTTCAACTTGTTGCATTATCGTTAAGGGGGTGTACAAATCTTCAAAATCTTCCAGACTGCCAGTTACAATCTCTTGAACACAACAGGAAGAAACTTCCGAAATTCAGCACTTTGCCAAATAAATTCCGATATTTAAAATCTCGGAAGAAACTTGACGCAACAGGAAGTGGCATAAAAACATTACCATCCTCTTTCAATCAATTGAGCCGATTGGAACGTTTGAATTTTAATAGATGTAAAGGTTTGACGGTATGGCCTTTTTCGTTGTCCGGTTTGAATAGCCTACAGAAGCTTTATCTGGGTAACTGTGGTATATCAGAAATTCCAGAGAGTATTGGATCATTAGTTTCATTGAAAGAGTTACATTTAGATGGAAACGATTTCGAAAGCATTTTTCGAAAGCATATCCTGCAAGCATCCAAACAAACTTGCTAACTTGAGCACTCTAATGTTGTATTGATTGTAAAGAGGCTTAGATATTGCCAGAGCTTCCAGGCACAAGTTTCATTTTCTGCCATCAAAATGCACCTCGTTTAGAATTTGTATCATTTCTGTCCTTTCCCAAAGCAGAAACAGCATTTATGGCATTCAACTTAATTTTTAGGTAACTGCCATTCAATTGGGGTGATAATGTAGCGTCTTCAAATTACGGGAAGCTCTTGTTTCTCAGCGATCAGCAGAGACAGAACGATGTTCCTTGTCTCTAATATTAAATTAATAAAGAAGTCCCTTATTTCTAAAAAAAATGTTAATTAAGCAATTTTCGATGATAACATCAATGGATTATTTTCCTAACTTGTTGAAAATTTCATAATTAATTTGTATGGCTTTGACAAGGGAATAAGAGATAACATAATAAAATTGAACTATATATCATCTTACCATATAAAAAAATTTGGTTTTTTTAAATTATCCATTTACTCATTCATCAGCTATTTAAATTCAGCTCTATCGTTAAATAAAAAATTTTTAATGATCTTACTTCTTTTAACCCAAAATATATTTCATGGAGCAGGGCCAATCGATTAGTATCCCCTGGCGGTGGAAGTGCGCAAAGTATGGAAGTGCCGCAAAGTATGAAATATCGAACGACTGGATCTCATCTTTCAGTTCAGTTGGAAAAGCCTGATCATATGTTGGGTTTTTATTTTGCCGCTGTTATAGATTTCCAAGATTTTGATTTGGATATATATAACATTAGAGGTTCTGTGAACTTTCAAGGTAAATCTGGAAAGATGTATCAGTATGGCTGTGACTTTTATTTCCTATGTTGTAGGCTTCCTAAGTTTGATTCAAAACATTTATTCCTTGGGTATAAATCTTTTGATCATGAACGGAATTTCACTCGAGTCTCATTCCATGTTGATTATTTCTCTCTAAATTATTCGAGAAAAGGTGAAGTCATTAGTGGGAGGGTGATCAATTGTGGCATTCATCCTATATATGGAGAAGAATATAGGAAAGCCGAAATAAGGAATGATTAAAATCAAGAAGGATGGTATCAGGGAGAACCAGATATCCAGGGGAGAACACCCAGACAAGGATACAGTAAAGGGAGAACCAGACAAGGATACAGTACAGGCAGCAAACGCTGAATTATGGGAGAAGAATTCAAGACAAAGACTCTGATTAAGGTCAATTAGTATGGCAAATGGAAATTGACAATAGGTAAAGGAATTTCTAGTTTCTTGTGTTTTACTTCGGGATTTTGGTTGACTTCAGTTTTTAATCACAACATCACAGCATTGAAGAGAATCAGCTTTTTATTGGCTGTTACTTGGCTATTAGCGCTCATAATAGCTAATCTATTTCCAAGTTTCTGCAGTTGTACGTTGGCATTGTATCTTAAGGGCTTGTTGCAGTTGGTGGAAGATCTTTAATCATGTTTGTAGTTATCCTAAATGCTTGTAATTCTTTGCTAGTTTGGATTTTTGGAGGGAAGCATAGATTGATCTTTAAAAGATGTTTGCTTCGTTTCAATTGATCTTTAAAACAAATTTTGTAAATTGGTTCAATTATATCAGCAACTCACATAAATATTTTTGTAATTGCGTTCAATTATATCAGCAAACATCACATAAATATTTTCTTTTGGATTCTGTGATTGCTATATCATCCTATCAAAAAAAAAAAAAAAAAAAAAAAAAAAAAAAACAAAAAGAAAAAAGCCTATCAAGTCTATTGTTTCTTTTTATTTATTATTTATTACCGAGTTATCCAATACAATAGAATAATATTATTGTAACTATATAATATAATTACCCTCTTTAATTCATTAAATTATTAAAAAAAATTTATAATCAATAACTTTTTATGAATTAAATTAATTTTTCAAAAATAATTCTTACATTTAAAAAATACTTTATCTTTGAGTTAATATAGAATCTAGATATACTAGATATATAATTAACCAAAAATAAGAATTTCAATTTTTTATAATTAAACTAATACAATTAGATGCCATTTAAAAATCTTTTCATCATAAATGTATTATATCTGCTGCTATTGACTTGACACAAGCTTTTTTGTCAAAACGGGTGATTAAGGTTGGAAGGTAACAATTAATTTGACTGTCCTATAATATATTTTTTTAAAATTCTATTTTTATGGTAATATTTTTATGCCACTTGCCTTGCTTCACGCTACATCCACAATTTTAAATCCCCAAAATTATCTGGCAATCCGTTGAATTTCAGACAATCTGTAACATCAATTCCTTCAGGAGATAATTGAACCAATTTACAAAATTTAATGTGACACATCATCAAACACTTTTGTGGGGTGGAACTAGACTTCCAAGTGTTGGGATTAAGGATCAATATAAATATTTACGTGAGTTGCTGATATAATTGAACCAATTTACTGATATAATTGAACCAATTTACAAAATTTGTTTTAAAGATCAATTGAAATGAAGCAAACATCTTTTAAAAATCTAGGTCATTGAATCATGCACATCATTACATACTTCCCTCATAAATTCCAAACTAGCAAATAATTAAAATTTGAATTAAAAACCGAAGTTTAGTTAATCAAAATTCCAAAGAGAAACACACGAAACTAGAAATTCCTTTAATTAAAGTCTTGGTCTTGAATTCTTATCCCAAAATTCAGCATTCGCCGACTCTTGTCTGGGGCTCTCCATTACCATCCTTATTGGTTTGAATCATTTCTTGTTTTGGTGTCCTATATTGTTCCCGAGATACAGGATGAACACTACACTTAATCATCTTTTCCCTATTATAACTAGGTTCATAACTGTTACTAATAGCAAAGTGGAATGAAGCCCAAGTGAAATGCTCTTCACGGTCGAAAGATTTGTACCAAAGGAGCACATGTTTTGAATCTTAGGCATTGTACCAAAGGAGCACATGTTTTGAATCTTAGGCATCAACAGCATACCTGAAAAAATAAAGGTCCTGGATCTTTCCAGATTTATCTTCGAATTCAGCAAAACATTTAATGGAACCTGGATCATGAGAATGAAGAAGTTGGGGATCAACAACAGCGCAAACGCAGAAACCCAAAATATCATCACTTCCTCTCCAGCTCGAATGAAAGATGAGATCCACTTGTCTGATATCTCATACTTTGCGGCACTTCCATCCCAGGGATATATATTCCGAACACCTGCCCCGTAAAAATAAAATTGGGAAAAATACAGTCAAATTAACACTTAAGTTAGGACTCTCAAAGCTGTTTCAAACTAGAGGAACATTAGAGAAAGGAACCATATCTCTATGTTTGAATGTGGTGACAATGCGATTTCTATAATTTCAATTGTAACATCCCTTCCCGATCCACCCGTTCACCCGAATGAATCGAGCCGAGACGCTACAAGCTGGTTGAACCTATGTCCTAACAATACCTACATTTTCACCCAATTTGTCAAAGTGAGCAAAATAAGTGATGAAGTTGGCCCATCTTACGGATCAAAAGATTTGCTCTACTCCAATGGAACAAATTTAAAGTTAAAAAGTGATGAAGGCTCATCTCAATCCGATCCTACCTTGTATCGCCGTTTAGTAGGGAGTCTTATTTATCTTACTACTACGCGTCCGGATATTTCCTTTGCTGGGCAAGTTGTCAGTCAGTTTGTCTCTCAACCAAGCAAGCCTCATCTTTCAACTCTTCATCGCATTTTGCGATATTTAAAAGGAACTTGTGGCCGTGGATTGTTCTTTCCTTCTCAATCCTCTCTCACACTTATGGCATATGCTGATGCAGATTATGCTGGTTGTGTTGATACCGGCGCTCTACGACAGGATGGTGTGTGTTATTGGGTAATTCTCCTATCTCTTGGAAATATAAAAAGTAAGAACGTGTCTCAAAATCTTCTACTGAGGCAAAGTATCGATTTATGTCATCTGTTAGCTCTGAAATTGTATGGCTCCAATGGCTTCTCAAAGATTTCGGAATAACTTGCACCCAACCTATCACGCTTTTTGGAAATAACACAAGTGCTATCAGCATTGCTACAAATCCAGTTCACCATGAGCGAACTAAACATATTGAAGTTAATTGCCACTACATTCGTGATTTGGTTTGTGATAAGTTCATTCATCTCATGCATGTATCTTCTCATAACCAACTTGCTGATTTATTTACTAAACCCGTGTCATCTACACGACATTCCTATCTTGTGAGCAAATTGATGCTTGCTGAGAATCACCATCAATTTGAGGGGGATGTCAAAGTGAGCAAAATAAGGAGACTAATATTCAATCAAATTAAATCATAGCTAATTAGTAAATCTCTCCTTACATTCAGTAACTTTGACTGTATTTCCTTTTAGCTACACCTGCCTTGTAAAGATGTAATTCATGTATATAAATAGGCTTGTAATCTGCTGAATATGATATCAAGAAAAACATTGTTTATTTCATTTATTATCACAATTTGATGCAATTAACAAAGTCAAGACATACATACAGAAATCCATCTTCATCTTCATGGGAAAAGCATGGACATGACACGAATTGTAAAGAGGTGCAATTTGATGCAGAAAACGAAAATAAGATTGGAATCTCTGGCAAATATCTAAGCCTCATACAATCATCCAAATATCTAAGCCTCATACAATCATCCAAGCTAAGGATAACCAAGTTAGAAAGTTGTTTGATGCTTGCAGGAATGCTTTCGAAACCGTTTCCATCCAAATATAACTCTATTAATGAAACTAATGATCCAATGCTCTCTGGAATTTCTGATATACCACAATCAACTAGAATCAGTTCCTGGAACAGATTCAAACCAGACAATGAAGATGGCAATGTTTGTATGCCACTTCTTGTTGCAATAAGTTCCCCCAGAGATTTTCAAACAACCACTAACATCAATGCCGTGAAGAGATTGTAACTGGCCAATGCAGTGTGGAAGATTTTCAAGCTCTGGACAACCACTTGATGACAATGTAACAAGATGAGAATGAGAGCAATCTCCAATTGATGAAGGCAACTGTTTTATTGCAGTTTCACTTAAATCTAATTTCCTTAAATTGCAAGGAATCTCTGGCCATTCTTCAAGTTTTATGCAACCTTTAAGATTAAGATACTCAATATTTTCGAACTGAAGGAAGCTTGGCAAACTGCAAATATTTTGCCGGCGCTGTAAGTCTAGATGGGCTAAATGACTACGAAGTTTTTATTAATTTCAGAGGCAAAGACATCCGCCAAAGACATCCGCGACGGTTTTCTCTCCTTATTTGAATCTTTGAAGGAAAAAGAAATCGATACCTTCAAGGATGAAAACCTTCAAAAAGGAACTGAAATAACACCAGCCCTCAAGCAAACAATTCAAGAATCATGTATTTCAGTCATCATATTCTCCAAAAACTATGCAGATTCTCCATGGTGCTTGGACGAGCTAGTTGTGATAAATGAATGCAGAGAAAAGTTAGGACAAACGGTTTTACCAGTTTTTTACCGTGTAGATCCAACTGATGTTCAAGAGTTGAGAGGGCATTTTGCAAAGGCACTTGTTAGGCTTTTACAAGATCACAGCGATAGATCACACAACCTGGGCGGATGGTGCCATGCTCTGAAGATAATCAGCAACGACTTAAGTGGTTTTGTTTCTAATGAGATCAAGTAAAGTTATTATTTTCCCTTGTTTGCTTTTACATTGTCTTTTTGTTTTCTCTTCATCAATAATAGATTAAATGAGATATAGAAGGTGCATACATATGGCCAAACCAAAAATTTGTCAATCAGAAAAAAAAAAAAAAAAAAAAAAAAAAAAAAAAAAAAAAAAAAAAAAAAAAAAAAAAAAAAAAAAAAAAAAAAAACAAAACCAAAAACTAGCTTCAATATGTCGAAATCCGAAAGGAAAAACTTGCCTAGTAAATATATAAGTTTTTGCTTACTATTTATTGTTCATTTGTGATCAGAGATGATCAAATGCTAGTTCAGAGAATCGTCAATCGTCTTTCAGAGATATTAAGTCATATGCCTTCAAATGCTAGTTACCATGACAAGTTAGTTGGAATCGATCGGAGTGCGGGAAAGTGAAATTGTTATTGTACACTGATGTAAATGGTAGAAATTGGACAATAGGAATTTGGGGAATGGCTGGTATTGGAAAGACAACTCTTGCTGGTATAGTATTTACCGAAATCGAGGCTAAATTTGATGCCCACTGCGTTGTTTCAAATGTGAAGGAACAGATACGAAAGCAAACAACAATTGTTTTACGGGATAAAATGATTAGTTCACTACTTGGAGACGAAAAGTCATTCAAAACGTTATTCCCTTCTCTCTATCTAACAATACCTAATCATCCATGGAGGGTATGTTATCAAATGATGGGTACTTTTGTCTTTTTAATACAAATTAACAGTACAAACTTTGAAAATTGACAAAAAAAAAAATTTCAGAGATGGACAAAACAAAAACTTAGAAATATAATCATGTGTTTTAGAAAAAGCAGGACCGACTAGTATAGTTGACTATGGTACAGGGATATAATAGTAATTTTCCTTTAATGATTTATATTTTGTAAAAAAAATTTTATATTTTTAGGATGAGGGATTAATAACTATGATGGCTATTCCATAATGGTATTGTTGGCGAACTGCAGACGTGGCTAACATTTGTTTTTGGTACAAAATGGCATCCAATTGAGTCAGTAGCAGCAGAAATTATACTTTGTCATCCAGATTTTTAAATGGCATCTAATTATATTAGTTTAATTGACAAAAAAAAAACTCAGATTCTTACATTTCATATTCTAATATTATTGAAAAAATATTTTAAAGAGAGTATTTTTAAAAATATCAAAGTGTTGGAGAAGCAGTCAACAACGAAATGATAAAATTTGTCTAAGTTTCATATATTAATTCAATCCATAAAGATTTTTTTTTAATTGTTATTATTTTATTTTCTTTTTTATTTAGTCAACGGTTAAAAATACTTCGTTATATTAAAATTTATTTTTAATTAGTCTAATACGTTAGGATGAGATCATACAGTGGACAATTTTCCCAAAAGGATAAAACACATAATTAACTGCCAATCTGCTTCCGTAGAAGGAGGACAACCACACATTCTACCAACTCGCCTAACGTTGCATTACTGTTAGGTGTTAGGAATTTCTAATTTAATGTGTATTTATTAAATCAATAAAGTTGTGTTAGTATAAATCTATGGAATTTTAGCTATTAAAATCTCAAATTTTTATTTATTCATATGTGACTCAATTTTTATTTTTTAAAAAATTAAATTTTTATTTAATCAAGAGTAAATGGAACTTGAAGTTAGTTATAAGAAACAATAAATTCACAATAATATGATAAGAGAAAATCTCAACAATCATTTAGAGATCAAAAATAAAAGTAGATAGAAATTAAAACATAGAAGAAAACAATTTTGGATTCTTTATTTTCAAAGCCAAAAAGGAAAATCTAATTGAAGAAGTCTTTGATTCCATCGAGTGATGATTGCATATTTTGTAAGCTCACAAATATAAAAATGGAAAGAACAAATAAAAGTTAGGAGCTAGGCTTAATAGAGAAAATTCAATAAATTAGGGAGCTTAATAAAAATGCCTTTTGAGTACTTATACACGTAAGTCTAGTTTCTACTAATTAAGGTTGGTTCTACTTCCAGATTAAATAAATGGAAGAAAAAGAGAACCAGTGAGCTGTTTTTGTTGAATTTGGGAAGAGAGGGATAAAAGCCGGGCGGGTATCCATAAATTTTAAGCTATCTGCGTTAGTATTCGTTTAAAATTTTACTATTCGTATCCGTTTTAAATCTATTTAAATATCAATTTAAAATATTCGCATCTAAATCGGTTTAAATTTTTACTGCCTGTATATATTCAAAACCCTTTTAAAATACCATTACACAGGTAAAGTACTTGGGAGTTTTAAATTATCTAAATATGAATTTACTTAAAATACAATTTTTACTAATAATGCATAGGATATTGCAGATATCCACTTCCAAACCTATTTAATATAGCAAGTAACAAATAGCAGATGTCCAAAAATTTATACTCGTAAACTACCAGCATCTACAACAGATAGTAATTTCACATTCTATATTCGTCTCAAACCTATTTATAATTATCCATATTCTCTTTAAATGGATCGAAGCGATATGGATACCCTAAAATACCCGCTTCCACCCCTGGAGAAGAGTGCAATGTATTGGATTTAATTAAAAATAACTTTTATAAGTGATGACCAAACTGTAATCATACAACTCAAGTGACAATATCTCACTTACACCTTTGCTGTACACCACACATGCTAGAATATCTCTCCTCTGCTTTACTCTCTGTTTATCTCTCTCACTTTCACTCCAACACACAAATGGGCATCATCCCTTCGACATTTGTTTTGTGCAAGTGATCGGAAGCTTCCTCTGTTGAGACTCAGTGATGACTCAACAGTTTTTATTCATCCAATAATTTACATTTTCTTGTATCATTAGAATACCACGGGTATTTCTTTTTCTTTTTCTTCTTCAACCTCTTCCCAGCAAAGCCTTTCTTTTATCATTAATACCATGGCTGCTGCTTCTTCTTCTTCAACCTCTTCTCAGCTAAAGAACCAGGAAGTTTTCATTAATTTTAGAGGCAAAGACATCCGTGATGGTTTTCTGTCCTTCCTCTTTGAATCTTTGAAGCAAAAAGGAATAGATACCTTCAAGGATGAAAACCTTCAAAAGGGAGCAGAAATAACACCGGCCCTCAAGCGAACAATCCAAGAATCATATATTTCAATTGTCATATTCTCCGAAAACTATGCAGATTCTCCATGGTGCTTGGACGAGCTTGTTGTGATAAATGAATGCAGAGAAAGGTCAGGACAAATAGTTCTGCCAGTTTTTTACCGTATAGATCCAACTGACGTTCAAGAGCTCACAGGGCCTTTTGCAAAGGCACTTGCCAGGCTTTTACAAGATCACAGCGATAGTTCACGCAACTTTGTCGGATGGTGCCATGCTCTGAAAACAATCAGCAACGACTTAAGTGGTTGGGTTTCTAATGAGATCAAGTAAAGTTTTTATTTCCCTTATTTAATTTTACATGTCCTTTTATTTCTCTTCATCAATAATAATTTAATTTATTTTCTTTTTAAATTTCTGTTTCATTTTTTTTACAAGTTCTGGCTTACTATTTATTCTTCATATCATATGTGACCAGAAATGACCGACTTCTAGTTGAGAGAATTGTGGATTGTGTTTGGGAGATATTAAGTCATATGCCTTCTTCTACTAGTTACGAAGACAAGTTAGTTGGAATTGATTGGCGAGCGGAGGAAGTAAAATTGTTATTGGACATTAAAGCAAATGATAGAAGAAGTGTAGGAATTTGGGGAATGGCTGGTATTGGAAAGACAACTCTTGCTGGTGAAGTATTTACCCAAATCATGGCTAAATTTGATGCCCATTACTTTGTTTCAAATGTCAAAGAACAGATACGAAAGAAAACAGCAATTGTTGTACGAGATAAAATCATTCGTGCATTGCTGGGGGACGAAAATTTAAAACTAGGCACACCTTGTTTAGATACATGGATTGTGAGAAGGCTGCGACGTAAAAAAGTTCTTATTGGTTTTGATGATGTTGATGACCCAAAAGAGTTAGATGATTTAGTTGGGGATTGTTGTTTATACCGTGAGGGAAGTAGAATCATTATAACTAGTACAGATAAACAAGTGCTTCAAAGTGTTTGTGAAGAAGAGCATATTTATGAGGCTCAGAAATTAATGGATCATGAAGCTCTTCAACTCTTTAGCTTGCACGCTTTCCATCAAAATGACCCTAAAGAAGGATATGTTGAGCTATCCAAGGAGGTGATAACTTATGCCGAAGGTAATCCGTTAGGAATAACAGTTTTAGGCTCTAGTCTTTATCGCAAGAAGATAGAAGATTGGGAGAGCCAGTTGCTCAAATTGAAAAGCATTCCAAACAAGAAGATTCAAGATGTTCTAAGAGTAAGTTATGATGGATTAGATAGACATGATCAAGACATATTTCTTGATATTGCATGTTTCTTTAAAGGAGAACTTAAAGATGAAGTTGAAAATATACTAGAAAGTTTTGGTTTTTTTGCAAGAAGTGGAATAAGGAATCTTGTTGATAAATCTCTCGTAACCATTTCATCAGGAGTAGTTGATATGCATAACTTGCTACAACAAATGGGAAAGGAGATTGTCAATGGGGAATGGAAACAGCCTGGAGGACGCAGTAGGTTGTGGATGTCTGCGGATATTTCTCATGTATTCAAAACAAATACGGTGAGCTGTTTTGGTAGTTCTTAAACTATTTTAATAGCTTTGAACTGATTGATTAATGTTTAGCTATACGATTAGTTTTTCATAAAATGTTAAAAGCTAAATTTTACACTGATTAATCTTCTATATTAATCTCTAAAATTTATATTATGAACACTAATCTTTTATGAAATGCTATCTTAATCTTTAAAATTTATATTACGAACACCTGAAGAAATAAAATAAAACAATAAAAGATACTTAAAAAGTTATTATTTGAACGCAGCCTAAATGGAATTTGTTGTTTATTTATTAGGGAACTGATAAGATTGAATGCATTTCGCTTGACATGTCTGAGATTGGACCTATTGAGCTGGATTCCACAGCTTTCATGGAGATGCATTATCTTAGATTCCTCAAAATCTACAAATGTGATAGCTCAGAAAGATATATCCTTCCCACTGGCCTTGATTTTCTTCCACAACTTTTAAGATATTTATATTGGGATCATTACCCTTTGAAATCTTTGCCGCTGAAGTTTTGCCCGAATAATCTCGTAGGACTTCACTTGCCTCACAGCCAGCTCAAGCAACTATGGGCGGCAGATGATAAGGTACATTTTTTAAATTCCTAAAGTTTCTTATTCTTTATTGGTTGTACGTAAATGAACTTGAAGTATTATCTTCCTGGTTTTTTCCCCAATTCACTTGTTGTTTCAGAAAATTAATGAAACATCGATTATCTTTTTTCTAATATGATCTTTTATCTTTTCATATCTTCACAAAATTATAAGCATTATTATCATAGTTCTAAGAACTGGACTGAACTGGTTATTTCATTTAATTTGATCGGAAATTGAATTATAATTAGTCTGGTTTAGATGCTTAAGACATAGGTTGAAAACTTGAAAAAACCAGTGAAAACTGAGTAAAACCCATGAACTAGGTTTAATTAAAAATCAACAAAAAATTTATAATTTATATTAATTAATTGATTTTTTTTGTTTAATATTAAAACTAATAGTTTTTTCTCTTTTTTTAAAAAATTATTTAATATTTATGGCCGTGTTCTTAGAACATTGTTAATTATTTAGAGAATTAGTATAGGGTAATTTAGTCAATTTCAATTTTTTTGCTAGAATAAAGTTGCCTAACACTAATTTCTTTGTTTTTGTGCAATTACCTTAAACACACTTGTGGGACAAAAGTAATATATATAAAACAGTAAAATATGCATGATTCAGTTGAGCTAAACTTTATAAAATTGAATTGATGAGAATTTTTTTTTCACATGACAAATATTAAAGCATGAAATTTTAAGGAATTCCACTAAATTTACTAAATATCTACTCATACAAAATATGATGTTAATAATTCATATTCTTCCTATTTTTATTACAGCCTCTTGGAAATTTGAAAGTCATGGACCTCAAGAACTCTGAGTCCTTAATAAGAATTCCAAACTCGTTTGAAGCTCCAAATCTTGAGAAATTATATTTGAGCAAATGTGAAAGTTTAGTTGAGATTCCTTCATCTCTTGAAAATTCAAGTAGGCTTGCTCTGATAGACTTGGAAGGCTGTGAAAGTATCTGCAGTTTGCCAAGCTTCATTCAGTTAGAAAATCTTGAGTTTCTCAATCTTAAACATTGCTCAAAACTTGAAGAATGTCCAGAGGTTCCTTGCAATATAAGGTTTTTATATTTAAATAGAACTGCTATAAAACAATTGCCTTTATCAATCGGACATTGCTCTCGACTTGTTACTTTGTCCTTGTGGGGTACAGAGCTCGAAAATCTTCCAAACTGCATTGGCAAGTTAAAGAGTCTCGTGCGACTTACTCTCGTTAAATGCTCAAAATTATCTTGTCTTCCACAAAGCATTTGTCAGTTAAAATCTCTTGAAGAAATTGAGGTTACAGATTGTTTGAAACTCAACGGATTGCCAGATAACTTAGGAGATTTAAAATCTCTGATGAAGCTTGCAGCAGCAGGAAGTGGCATAAAAATATTACCATCCTCTATCAATCAATTGAGCAAATTGGAATATTTATGTTGTGAGGGATGTAAACGTTTGACGACATTGCCTCCTTTGTCCGGTTTGAATTGCCTGAGGAATCTTTTTCTGAGTAAGTGTAGTATATTGGAAATTCCAGAGAGTATTGGGTCATTAATTTCATTGGAATCGTTATATTTAGATGGAAACGATTTCAAAAGCATACCTGCAAGCATCAAACTGCTTTTTAAGTTGAACACACTTCAGTTGAATGATTGTAAGAGGCTAAGAAATTTACCGCAACTTCCATGCTCAAGAATTTTTTCTGCATCAAATTGCATCTCTTTAGAATTTGTATCATGTCCATTCCTTTCCCTGGAAGATGAAGATGAAGATGGAGAGGCATATGTGGAGCATGATGATTTTCTCAAAATGGACGGTCAATGTCTTGATTTTAGTAATTGCATCAAATTGGATGAGAATGTACGTATCGAAATTATGGAAACCCTATTGTCTGCATATCCAGAAAAAGAGGTATATTTCCTTAATGTTATGGTACTTCCTATGTCAAGTGATTGATTTGCTTAAACTCGTATATGGATAAAAAAAAAAAAAAAGAAAACTTATTTTCCTAAAAAAAAAGTTATTTTAAATTTCCGAAAATTGATACTAAATGAAATATTTGCCTAATTACTATACTATTAGAGAGGTAGACAAAATAAAATTACCACCTTAGGTGTTTTTCGCCAAATCTATTTCGGTAAATCATATGCTGTGGATGGCCGGAGGTAGAGCATGTTTATTGTTCGTTGGCAATGGATGTCTAGTCCTTTTATGAGGAAAATTATCAGGAAAATATTTCAATAGTTATTTATTATTGATGCCGTGAAAGATTTATCTTCAAATTCCCCATTTTCTCATTCATGAACTGTGTTATATTTTCATGGGACAGGACTTCAGATTATGTATTCCTGGGATGGAAGTTCTACACAGCATGAGATATCAGATGAGTGGATGTGGATCTCATATTTCATTCGAGCTGGAGAGAGATGATGATATTTTGGGTTTCTGTTTTTGCTCTGTTATTGATCCTAAGCTTCTTAATTCTCATCAAATTTTGGTTTCATGTCGTGCGAAATTCGAAGATAAATCTGGAAATATCCATGACTTTCATTTTCCAGGCGTGTGGGTAATGCATAAATTAGATTCAGAACATGTGTTCCTTTGGTACCATTCTTTCGACTATAAAAAGCATTTCTCTCAGGCCTCATTCCAGTTTGTTATTGAAGATGGATATGATGATTACAATGTTAAGGGAACCATTAAGTGCGGTGTTCATCCTATATCTTGGGAACAATATACGGCGCGATTGGTTTCGAAACACGAAATTATTAGAACCGAGAAGGGTGGTATTTGGGAGAACAAGACAGAGACGGTTTGAAACAAATTAACTTTGGAAGAAAAAATCGAGATAAAGTGATTAAGTTTGAGTATTTCCTTTTTTTTATTAATTAACTTTAATTTCGCAATTATTGTGAGATAATTATTTTGTATTGTTTGTAACATTTCGAACCATATCTCGATAAAAAAATTGAAACAAAACTAGTTTTTTTTTTTAAGTACAGAGGGAAGTGAGATTCGAATTCAAATTTATTGGGGTTTGTATATACACCTACTACTAAGGTATATCTTGAGGTACAAACGAAACAAGTTTCTGATAAAGTTAAATGTTGGGGTTCATTTTGACAAGGAATTACTTCCAATGAATTTTTTTTAACAATATTATAATTATTATTGAGTTTGATTTAATATTAAAATGAAATATTTTTTTTCTGAGGAAAATTAAAATGAAATATCTTGAGTAACAACAAGTTACCGAATAAATCCATATTTAGAGAATAACTTATGAGATTATCAAATCTATTCTGATCAAAAAAATTTAATTAGATCGGATTCATGGTGGAAACTAATAAAATTAAGGATTTCATGTTACTCTTATTTATAACCCACTCATGGATCTGTATTTTGGTCCAAAGTAGCATTATCATATTCAGGCCCAAATTGAAAATATCAATGTGGCCTTTTAAGTGAAAAGGGCCCATTAATTCATAAATTATTTATTTTATTTCTTTACTTTTTTTTTTTTTTTTGGTAACAATTTTATTTTCTTTACTTTATTTCGACGTATTCATTCTGTAAAATGTATTTTCGCTTGAATAACAAAACAAGTCGCAAATCCAAACGCACGAGCTCGTTACTCTCTCTCTATCTATCTGATAAAAGGGAAAGGGCATATCAGAGCTTTAGCGGAGAAAGAATCCATAAAAACTCCAAAAAGAATAGAAGAAAGACCTTTAATTGACCTCAATCTAGACCGTCAGATCCCGCTGTCGACGGTGATCGCCATGTCCACCTTCTCCACCGCCACGACGGTCCGATCCACTGTCGTCTTTCTCTTTGCTTTCGTTTCTCTCATCTCCCTTTCTCCGGCGCTCGCCTCCGAGTCGGATCACAAGGTAAAACTTCAAACCTTCCCTTTTCGATTGACTCGGTGTTGCGGGGTTGTACCTTGTAGATCTCGCCATTTAGGGATTTTTAGTTCCGGAGTTGGACTCAGATCTGTGGCGTTTTTGAATTAGTGTGCTTCGCAAATTGGTTCTTTTGTTCATTTTGTGAGGATGTTGTGCTTTGATTCGTTCAATTTTGTTTTGAATTGTTGCGATTTTGTGGATTGGGGATTACTGCTTAGATCTCTTGTTGTTTTTATTAGTTCTTGAGCGCGCAAATGTGAATGCTGGAAAGCTTGCTTGTAGTAATAAGATGTGGATGAGAAGGCGCATGAGGGGAAAGTTGGACTCTTTTTGGTAGTTGACCGAGTAATGGCTGTGAATGGAAAACTTCACTCTCCCTTTTTAGATTATCGTAGTACAAAATGTAAGATACTTAGTAACAGAATAATTGGTATAACAAATGTGGATGGCTTTGTTGCTGATTCTTGTACAGTGGATCTGATTACTACCTCATCTACATGAATGAGTTTTATGAAAATTGTTTTGATAAGCAGTTGAATTCTGTTAGTGAACTTTCTGGTGCCACATTCAAGTTTTTTTTTTCTTTTTTTGGTTTGGTTTGGTTTCAACTGATTTGAATTTTTGGCTGTAAAGACCACATTTTGAATGAAGCTTAAAGCTGATTTCTGATGCGGCATCATATTGGTGCCAGTCATTAGAGGTTTATAGACTTGGATACCTTCTTGGAAAAGGCTGCAGGAGCTCTGTGGGAGAGCCATTGTTTAGTGATTTGAAATATGTACAACGCTTCCTCAAGAGGTTGATGGTCTAGGTGCACTGCAGCAGATTTGTCTTGAAATTTGCATGAAGCTATTTATTGTGTCTCAGCGTTTAAATTTGGTTTTAGGCATCACTTGTACCACTGGCAAATGCTTTCTAGGGACATGGTGTTTGTTTTGAAATGCATATTTGTTCCTTGATAGGAAATAAAATCATGCAAAGGGTGAAACAACTTTTTAGACTAGTATAAACTTAAAAAAGAAGCACCATGCTTTTTACCGTGTCAGGAAAGAGATGGAAAGCATTGCAAACTGTGGGTGTGGAATCTAATTTAGATGCTGACCTCACATGATTCAGCTGGTTTTTACCTTCATGATTCCAGTTTCGTGCATTTGTTAATTGTTTCATTTCATTTTGTTTTGAATGTTGGATTATAAAAATCTGAAAGGAATGAATAAAATGACTTGGGCACCAATTTGGTTACTGTGAGAGCATGTTAGAACACCATTTTGATTAATTGCTATATTTTATTTTTCCTTGACACCTTCTGTTTTTCCTTTTTGCAGTATCAACCAGATGAACCAGTTACTCTTTGGGTGAACAAAGTTGGTCCTTATAATAATCCACAAGAAACGTACAACTATTACAGTCTTCCATTTTGTCATCCTTCTGGCAGTGCTGCACACAAATGGGGTGGCCTTGGTGAGGTCCTAGGAGGAAATGAACTTATTGATAGCAAGATTGACATAAAGTTCTTGAGTATGTAACTGTTCTCAAACTAGCCTACATTTATGCTGGAGTTTGATTAGTTTTTTTGCTTTTGAATTTTGTTTTCACCTCTGTTATTTGTTTTTAATCCCCTCTCTCTCTCTCTCTCTCTCTCTCTCTCTCTCTCTCTCTCTCGTTTTTTTTTTTTGAATTTTGTTTTCACCTCTTGTATGTTGTTTTTGTAATTTCCGCCGTCTCTCTATCCTCTCTCTCTCTCTCTACTGCGGCGTCTCTCTCTCAGTTTTTGGTTTGTGTTGAATCAACGGGAATGTCGAAATGAAGTGCAATTTTTGTTCCTCTCTCTCTCTCTCTCTCTCTCTCTCTCTCTCTCTCTCTCGTTTTTTTTTTAATCAGGGAATGTCGAAAGAAGTACAATTTGTTCACTTGACCTCGATGAATCAAAAGTCAAACAGTTCAAGGATGCAATTGAAAACAACTATTGGTTTGAATTCTTCATGGGTATGTTATTTCACATTCTGGTACATGTTCCTATTGGAATGCTATGAAGTTTTGCAATGTTGCCTCTAATATTTTCATATATTGGGGGGGTGTGTGTATTTACATGTTTACTATGCACACATGTGAATACTGGGATTGTTTGTCTCCTTCAATTGCTGCTTTTTTATGCGGTTTATGGACCACTTATTATTATTTTTTCTCTTTCCGGTTGATCTTTGGTATTTGGATTGCAAGTTCAGATGACCTGCCGTTGTGGGGTATATATTCACCAAACTATACTGTTTTCTTTCTCTCTCATGCACACAGTGTGATTTGATAATTCATTCTCAAATGTATTTTCTGATTGATCATTAGGCTTTGTTGGTGAGTTGCATCCTGACAAGAACAGTGATAATGGCAAGCATGTACTTTACACCCATAAGAGCATAACTGTTAGATATAATAAAGATCAGGTTTGTGGTTATGCGACACCAATGTGTTTTTCATGAATGATATTGACACCTGTTGTTAAATCATCAAATTTTTTTTGGCGCAGATTATTCACGTAAATCTTACACAAGATAGTCCAAAGCCTGTAGAAGCTGGTAGAATATTAGACATGACATATTCTGTGAAATGGGTTTCGACTGATATCACTTTTGCACGTCGTTTTGATGTGTATTTAGACTATCCTTTCTTTGAGCACCAGGTAAATTTCTTTCATTTGTTCGCGGAAGAAAAAGAAAAAGTTTCATGGTTGTATTCTAGCTGTTCAGTTATTATGCTCCTTTATATTGGTTCACTTATTCATAACTTCATTTTCAAACATGCAGATCCATTGGTTCTCCATTTTCAATTCATTCATGATGGTTATCTTTCTCACTGGTTTGGTGTCAATGATATTGATGCGGACTCTTAGAAATGACTATGCTAAGTATGCGCGGGAAGATGACGATCTTGATTCTCTGGTATGCTTTCCTTCAATACAAGCACTTGTAAATATTATGTTGATTGGTTGTCTTTTTTATTCTTTTGTTTGATGTGAATTCTTTTAATTTTAATGAACAAGTTCTGGTGTGTGTTTGTGTGTGTGCTTATGCATGTCAACCAATTGCAGTAGATTCTAAAACTAATATATGTGGCAACCACTGGAATTTTTTTTCAGGAAAGAGATGTTAGTGAGGAGTCTGGTTGGAAACTTGTCCATGGGGATGTTTTCCGGCCACCTCGTAATTTAGTAGTTCTTTCTGCTGTTGTTGGTACTGGTGCTCAGCTGGCACTGCTTGTGCTGCTTGTCATATTGTTGGCAATTGTTGGAACACTATATGTTGGGTATGTTGAGATATTACTCCAGAATACTTGCTAGATTCTAGATTCTTTTTCACGCCACTATAAAATTTCTAGATTCTGTTATCTTGTATATATCTCTTTCTATTTCTTCTTGGCTTACACCCTGGTGGTGTTCGAGTACCTCTTCTTTCTACTCAAGCCTCGGCAGAGCTTTTTTTTTTTTTTTTTTTAATTAGCGTTGCTATAGTTCTAGGATTCTTTTCGACGCGCACTATTAAAATTTCTACGAGATCTCTGTTATCTTGGTTGATATATGTCTTCTTTCTATCTTTCTGTTCTTGGCTCTACACCCTGGTGGTTGTCTGCGGAGTACCTCTTTCTTTCTTACTCAAGCCTCTTGCAGAGCTTTTGTTTTTTTTTTTTTTTTCTATTCGTATCTCTAACAAATTTGATAGGATCTTTTCATATTGCATCTCCAACAGATTTTATTCTTATCCATAAATAAAATTTGTATCTCCTTATTGTATTGATTAAAATTTACTGTTCTTTATGTTATTCAGGAGGGGGTTTTTTTTTTTTTTTTTTTCTCATTCGTATTCTAACAAATTATGAAGGACTCTTTCATATTGCATCTCCACAGATTTTATTCTTATCCATAAATAAAAATTTGTTTATCTCCTTATTTTTGTATGATAAAATTTACTGTTCTTTATGTTATTCAGGAGGGGAGCAATTGTCACGACTTTCATTGTGTGCTATGCCCTTACATCATTCATTTCGGGTTATGTGAGTGGGGGCATGTATTCACGCCATGGCGGTATGCATCTCTATGCATTATTTAACTGTGATGTGTTTTCTGCTTATTCTTATATTTATTAGTTTTTTTTTTCTTCTTTTTCACTTACAGGTAAAAATTGGATAAAGTCGATGATCCTCACAGCTTCTCTATTTCCATTCATGTGCTTTGGGATTGGGTTTATATTGAACACAATTGCTATATTCTATGGGTCTTTAGCAGCTATTCCCTTTGGCACCATGGTTGTGGTTTTCGTAATTTGGGCTTTCATCTCCTTCCCTCTTGCGCTTCTTGGTACGGTTGTCGGAAGAAATTGGAGTGGCGCACCAAATAATCCATGTCGTGTGAAGACCATTCCTCGACCAATCCCTGAGAAGAAATGGTACCTCACACCATCTGTAGTCTCATTGATGGGAGGACTACTACCTTTTGGTAGCATATTCATTGAGATGTATTTTGTCTTCACTTCATTCTGGAATTACAAGGTGAATTGTGCTGCGTTGTTGTTTGATCAGTACAAAAAGTTTCCGATGACATGTATTGTATCTGATTCCTGGTACCTTTTTTTGGGACATTCACTACATGAAAACCTGTTTTTGTTGACCAAATTTTGTTAGATACTATATTGTATCTTTTGAATGCATTGAGTGGTCATCTTAAATGCATAATATATGTCAAAGTGTTAGCACACTTCACTTTAGTTTTGGAATTTACATCAATCTTAGAACTTCATGATAATTTTGTCATGTAAGGATATGTATATTTATTTGATCAATCTTTGTATCTCAAATTAATAGATAATAAGAATCAAAGATTAGGGTGTATATTTTCCTACATTAGCCTAAAGCATGTCGGAAATATTATCAAATAGCACATATCTGTTTTTTCTAGCTGCAATATGAACTTGAATGAGTTTGCTCCAAGAGGCGCCATGTTCTTTCATGCACTCAGTTTTTATTGCTTGCTGATTGTCATTCTGTTTGCAAATTCTATACATAGAGTGCAGGATTACTAATTAGTTCGTTATTATTTTATTGATATGATTCCTATTTTCTAGGCACCATTAGTTATATATTCCTGTGTGAGTGCACATGCGGAATTTATGCTTGTCACAGAGTTTAAGCAATACTGCTTTTAAATATTTTGCTAACATTATCCTTTGTGCTACTGGACAGGTCTACTATGTATATGGCTTTATGTTGCTGGTTTTTCTGATTCTCATTATTGTCACTGTTTGTGTGACAATTGTGGGAACATATTTCTTGCTCAATGCTGAGAACTACCACTGGCAGTGGACATCATTTTTCTCTGCAGCCTCAACAGCTGTTTACGTGTACTTATACTCAATATATTACTATTATGTGAAGACAAAGATGTCAGGCTTCTTCCAAACGAGCTTCTATTTTGGATACACTTTGATGTTCTGCCTTGGTTTAGGGATCCTTTGTGGTAAGTTTTTTCTTTCTGATTAATTTTGTACGAGTGCCTTGATATTTCTGGACTTTAGTTTATTGTACGTTAATATCCTATTTCTGCAATCAAAATATTTTTTACTCAAGTTAAACAGATTATTCTTCTGGGGTTCCTTTGCCGGTTAATTTGGTATGCTTGTTGAGACTTTGATATATAATGTTGGAGAACCTGTTTAACGCTGTGAAATATGGTCCTCTGTGTGGTTGTTCAACCCAATTTCATATCCTTATGTACTCTCAAATCTTCCTTCAAGTTGATTCATTTAGGATTGCATAAGCAGGAAATAAGGCATCATAAATTATTTTAAAAGCATGACAAATGTTGTACTGCCTAGTTCAGGCACATGGCTATTTGTATTGACTGCTAGCTTGTTGAAGATTCTCCAGAGCATTTACTTTCTGAGACCTGATCTAAAAAAATTGCTATCGGGGCATCTATGTAATCGTTGTTTCTTTATATGCAGGAGCTGTTGGCTATTTGGGGTCGAATTTGTTTGTGAGGAGGATTTACAGAAACATCAAGTGTGACTAAAACACTCACCAAGGAGAAAGAGACCTGAGAGCTTCTCTGGGCACATTCTTGTTGAGACATTAAATTTTGATGAAGTCTCTGGTCTTTGTAATGGAGGTTAGCAAAGCTACAAAAGAATCCAAATGTTTGACGACGGGGAAGTATTCTTCTTTCTCTGGACTAGGGGAAAGCCCTGAGATTGTTTTTGGTTTTTTCCCCGGCTGTAAGTGAAATCCTTAATTTAGAATTCAGAGATTGTTCTTATAATATGTGAAGTTAGCAAAATATATCAAACACCTGTCATTTTTTCTCTCCTGTTTTACGAATAGATGTCCTATGTAAGAACCAACGCCTAATTCCCCTTTCCTTGAATTTGTTTTGTTGTCTGCTCATCTTCTGAAGTAGAAACTTTTCGGGGGGCCAAGTTTGAAGAAAATGAATTTTGTGCTTTAGAATTGTATGTGCATACATCTGTTGTTTCCAACTGCAACTAATGCATTGATATGTCATTCCCTTTTCATTTATCTTATCGGAAGCAAAATCTTGACAGGGTGAATTGCCGGGATTTGGGTGCAACTAACTGCAACTATTTTCTTTGTTTTGTGAGGGGCCAAATTGTTGGGGAGATTATTGAACAGACAAAATGGGGGGCATTGTTAAAATTTCATTAAAATTTTGATGCAATGATTTTATTTATTTTTTGTGCAAATTTTCCAGAATGAGGATAGGATCTATTTTCTGCATTTTGTGAATTTACTTTGGGTTTATTCAGCAAAGTTAGCTGATCTGTTACGGTTTTATTAGTGTGAAACTGTTAACTGTTTGAGTGGTTTTATTAGTGTGAAACTGTTAACTATTTGAATAATTTTTTATAAAATGCTAAAAGCAATCATAATATATTACAATATTAAGAAATAGTATTTAGGGTTTTCAATCTGGGAGTTTGTGGTGTTGGTTTGAACAAGTAGTTAGTTGAGTGTTATATACTTATTTGTCCCAAAAAGAAGCTTGGGCAACCGTAGAATGCTGCCAATTCACGATAAGTACACAGGTGAAAATTAAAAAAGACCATTGTATAATAATTAAATAATAAGAGCCATAAAAATATAATGCCAAAAGATCCGTCGTAGGATCGTGCCCGCCACATTCACCAATCTCTCTGTGGTGATGATAAAAAGATAATGTAAGCCACAGTAGGTTGCCACGTGGCAGATAGGATTCCACTCCAGTTCAACCCTTTTCCATTTCATAGCCACAAGCCTTGCATTTAATAACACTATCCACCTCTTCTTTGCTTTAGCCTCCCATTCCACACCAAGAAAAGAGCATTCCCATTTCTCTAACATAGAAAAGAAAAAAAATGGCCTCCACAGCCCTCTCCAGTGCCATGGTTAGTACCTCCTTCACTCGCCGGCAGCCGGTTACTAGCCTGCGAGCACTTCCCAACGTGGGACAAGCTCTTTTCGGCCTGAAATCAAGCCGCGGAGGAAAGTTCAAGGCAATGGCATCATACAAAGTAAAACTGTTAACTCCAGAGGGTGAAAAAGTAATAGAATGCCCTGATGACGTGTACATTCTGGATGCAGCTGAAGAAGCAGGAGTTGACTTGCCATACTCATGTAGGGCAGGTTCTTGCTCTTCTTGTGCAGGGAAAGTTGTAGGAGGAGAGGTTGATCAGTCCGATGGTAGTTTTCTTGATGATGAACAAATGGAAGAGGGCTGGGTTCTTACTTGTGTTGCTTATCCCACTTCTGATGTTGTCATTGAGACACACAAGGAAGAAGATCTTGTTGCTTAATCTTCTTCCTTGATTAATTAATTAATTAAGCATTTTCTTGCTTGCTTGCTTTCTATGTAATTTGGTTTTGTGGGGTTGGTTGGTTTAGTTTATTTTGTTCTTCAGGATAATTAATTAAGATTGTTATGTTTCTTGTCAATTGAGAGTTGAAGCTCTTCTTGTAGCTTAATAAACATTTATATGATTCATTTCCTTCTTTCTTTCACACACACACACACACACTCTTTAATTTTTGTTGTAAAATTATTTTAGATGGATATTGAAAATTCTTCTAAAAGGAGGATGTAATGCTAACTATCTAAAATTTTTCAGGCAGCCATTTCATATATTTTCTAGTGTATATATATATTTTTGAAAATGAAGATGGGATGTATTATGTATTTTTCTTTGATGGAAAGCTCAAGGAGGTTGGATTATATGATATTATGATGGGATGGAGGTAGTTCATTTTAGTCCATTATCCCTTTTTTTTTTCTCATATTTAATAAATATGGATAGGGATTGAAAATTACATTCACCACAATAAGAAGGGTATGCCTAATTGGATAATTGGACCAAATAATATATTTCTAATTAAAATAGTGAAAAATGAAATTAGAGGAAATAAAGCAGAATTTGGATTAAAAATTAGTAGTAATCTTGTTAGTCTATTAGATATAGCTTTGCTCTAAGTAAGCAAATTTTTAATAACCATTGAAGCTTAAAAAAATGAAGTTTTTTATAGTTCAAAATATTTTTTTTTATGAATTTTAGTTTTAGATATTATAAAAAATGAAAAATGAGTTATTGCAAAACATTATACAAAGATGAGGGATTTACTTATCAATATAATAAATGTATAATAAATAGTGTTTGTTGGGTTCTGAGACAAGCTCATGCTCTTACAAGAATGTCTTATTCTTATGCTAGCTCCCATGTGTGGTATAAGCTTCCTTCTAATATAGAAGCTATACCTGTATTTGCTTCAAACCATGCTTAATGAAATCTTTTCTCCTTCAAAAAAAAAAAAAAAAAAATGGATATAAGCTTCCTTCTAATATAGAAGCTTATACCTGTATCTTGCGTCAAACCATGCTTAAATGAAAATCTCTTTTCTCTTCAAAAAAAAAAAAAAAAAATAAACATGAAAAAAAAAAAAAAAAAAAACTAATAACATGTGCATGTTTATAACACATTGACAGTGCTACCAAATGTTTACCTAATATTAGTAAAAGCTTTTGTCAGGCAGATTGTGTATTAATTGCATTGTTTTTTAGTTGTCATCAAGTTTCTGATTCTTTTAGCACTGTAAAAAGGTAACAATTCTTGTAATTTTAAGATAAAATTTAATCAAGTTCTTCGAAACAAATCTGAGAGAGTCTCAACTTTTGGTTCCTCTATGTTATCTTCATTGTCATCATCATCATCAATGGCAGGAGGATGTGATGTACTGTCATTTAAGTACTCTTCGATCCGAGAAGAAAGTTCAACTTGAAGCGAGTTCGAAGTCTCAACATGCTCAGGAGCTGCTACGGTTATCCCATTTATTGAGCCTAAGGAAGATGACCGAGATAGAGTGCCTGATGCAACTGTAACTTCATCTCCTTCATCGATTGTTGTATCAAGTGAACATACTGATCTTGTAGCGACTGAATGTGCAGATTCGCGCTTAGATCTCTCCTTCACTCTCTTGCACCAGCTGTGTAGTGACTCTCTTACACTTTCAGCAACTAAGGCTTTCTTAAACCGTGATCCCATCTGAACTCGTCAAAGATCATAAAATTATGTGTTTATCTGATAACTTTAAAAAAAAAAAAAAAAAAAAAAAAAAAAAAAAAAAAAAAAAAAAAGGTTGTAAATTCGAGGTAGCTTGAACTCTCAATTTTGGTTTCTTTTGAGCCTGATCGAGCCAAATATAGTGCACTATTTTAATTTACTTGCCTTCAATTTTCCTCTGTGACAATGAAAGATGCCTCTGCCTCACTATTATGGCGTGTCTTTTCTTAGGCTTTTCATGGTCAGTGTTTCATTAACGGCTTGAGGCTATTACCAACAGTTGAATTTGTATAAAATTGCAGTTGATGTAGTAATACAAACATTGTCTAATTTGATTTGAATTTTGTAAAAAAAAAAAAAAAAAAAAAAAAAAAAAGGTGTAAATGAGGTGAGCTTGAACTCTCAATTGGTTCTTGAGCCTGATCGAGCCAATATAGTGCACTATTTTAAATTTACTTGCCTCAATTTTCCCTGTGTACAATTGAAAGATGCCTCTCCTCACCTATTTATGCGTGTCTTTCTTAGCTTTTCATGTCATGTTCTTAACGGCGAGGCTATTACAACATTGAATTTTATAAAATGCAGTTGATGTATAAACAACATTGTCTAAGTTGATGAATTGTCCAATAATAAGAGATGAATAATGCATGTAATGGGAATATTATTTGCGCTAGAAAAGTGTGGCAAACCTGAGTAACAATTACATTCAGAGGAACTGTGCTATAGCTACACCAGAACTGAACAAGAACCCTGTATTCACCGATACAAAATGAAATGTAGAATGGTTACGGCTAAACAATATATAACTATTCAAGATTTCACAATCAATATCAATGGCATGGTATAAATTTCTTGGAAATTGTTCAAAAGTTGGAGCAACAACACACTAGCAAACCGTAATTGCTTTTATCATGCATGCAAGAATAGGCATTGGTTTGCCACTAACTTATGGCATGTTTCAATTTAACAGAATTTACTATACTATGCCAATAAGCACCTAAAGCCATAAGTTGAGTCTGTGAACTTGCTAAAATATTCTTAATGTAACAAAATCAATTTTTTGGCTTGAAAAATACTTATATCAGATTATCTTTTCTCCAAACTGCAAATAAGCATAGTTTTGACTTCAATGGAATTGTTGAAAGTGTTTAACTTTGTAAGAAAAGTTTGACAGTCGAGAGAAACATACCCGGAAGCTAGCCGAATAACCACCATTAAATGATTTTTCATGAAGCATGATCTTTGCTTAAACCCCCACTAAAATTAAAGAGAATCAAATAATTCAATACTACTGCATTTGTCACAACTGGCAAGAAAATAAGAGAAAAGTGCAGAGAGATAGAGAGAAAGGCTTTGATCTTACTAAGGACCAAATGAATGTTGCCATCTCGAAGGCATTCTGCACAAAAAAAAGACAGATCATTATTCATCATCTGAGGAGAGCACATAAATATATGTGTATTGTTCATATGATTTAAAAATAAAAATCATTATTCATTACCTGAAATATAATAAACTGTATCAATCTTAGCAGTATCTCAGGCTTTCCAAACCAAAAGAGATCGTCACGAGGCTTTACTTGAGCCCCAATGGAGGGACCTGTTTGCTCTACAATTTCCAGGGCTAATGTAGATACAACATGCTGAAGCTTTGTCCCAATCAACATGACAAGCTTCGACAAATGAAACAACCATTCAAGGATTAACTAAATGTCTTGTGCTGTATCAATAAAATGACCAAATGAGTGACTATACTTACTATGGCAGGGATGAAAGAGAGCCAAAAATAAATATTTAAACCTGCAACATTTAGATGTCCTCAGTATTCCAAGAAGTACTTCAAATGTGAAAAGCTTTCATCATTTATTTATTTTTGCATTTCGAAAATGACAGCTCACCATGAATATTTATGAAGATGCACAATATTGTATAACCCCAAAGTGGCAAGCTGCAAAATTATAAAAAGTGATTCAGTTCAACTCATTTTGCATTCCACTACTTGTGGTTAAGAATCTAAGAGCCTGTAACAACAAAGGCAATGAAAATTAAAGAAAGAAAAATGCCTACACTTCAAGTTGGATAAACAAATACCTAATCCCCAAGATTCCATGAAATTCGTCTTCCATACTTCGAACCATATATCCATGAAAATTATAAGAAAGTGGCAATTTGTGCTTCTGAAAATTGGAAAGCATGAAAAAGATGTTCAGTGAAGGTGGATGAAATAAGACAGTAAAATAGATACGGCATCTGATAATCAAGAATAGAAAAAAAAAAAAAAAAAAAAGTAACTAAATTGGATTTCTTGAATAAGTAGAATTTGTAATAACAAAATGACATTTGATAAAGAAGGCAAAATTTTTGTGTACTGAAGATTCTTACTCATATGTTATCATAGAGAAGGAAACAATGTTAGATACTCACAGTGATGAAACCCAATCGCAGTGCTAAGTAGTCTGATTTCTTTATAGAACTCTTAAATTGCCGAAGGAAACAAAGCTGCAGAAGAAGACGTGGGAAAGAAAGTTTAAACTTTTTTACACGAGGAGGAAAATAAACATAAACAATTAGACAAGAATCAAACAGTAGATAAATAAGCTGAGAAAATTAGGGCCAAAATCACCAAATTTGCAATTAGAACATCTCCAGCACTAAATAAACATCACAAGTAAAAAGAAAACAGAATCACCATCCAAATGAGAATGCGACTCCTGCTCCATGGATGAGATGTGCGGTGGAAAACAAAGGTCGATTGTCGTCTCATCACCTTGTTTCTCTTTGCTATGACAAAGCAATAAAAATAAATGCAAGGGAGAAAAAATTAAGTACAAAGAACTAATTAAGGAGTTCTTATAATGTTCAATATGGTTGTATCGCAATTTCCACACGGCCTTATGAGCTAAAACCTCTTAAACTAATGCATTGCATGTGCTATACTTAAGGAAATCTATCATTTGATCTTCATTTGGTAAATATTACTAGTAGTTCTAAGAGTACAAACGAGCCAATCCGATATCAAACCTATCAAGCTCGAAACTCAACGACCCTGAAAATTTTAATCTCGAGCTCGATTCGAGGCTTGATTCTTGAATAATTTTAAAATAAATATTATATATATGTATATATATATCAATAGAGTTCAATAAGGCTCGACGAACTTTCGAATTAAATATTATTAGGCTTGAACTTAATCCTTGAGCCGAATTTTTTCAAACTTTTCTCGAGCCGAGCTCAAACAGCTCGCTAGCCGACTAAGCTTATTTACACACCTAAATATTAGCACATATGTATACCAGTTGAAAAGGTGCTGTTACATTAGCCAGAGTTATTAGATCACTATTTCTTTCACGATTTTCATCGGGGTACCTTGCAAATTCTCTTCAGGAACTAAGCTGGCTTGGTTTTCCCACTTCCTCCAACTATAAATCTAGAAAGAAAAAATGTAAAAGAAATAAACCATCACAATAATTCATGAAGGATCACACGTTACAAATAAAATTTATAAATTGATAGCTAAACAATTTTTGTTTAAAATGAATATGACAAATGATATGGACTGAGCAAAAGTTCATGGGGACCAATCCCAAGTGGCATGAACAAGTTCACTATATAGAATTTCCACAGATAATTCAACTGCACCAGAAGGACCCTACAAATTTATGAGGGCAGAAAGTAGGCCAATCTTTGGTAATATGTCAAAGACATCTTCCAACTATTTGAACTATTACTTAGGAGCCCTCAACTTATAGATACTACTTCACATACCTTGCTCATGGCCAGACCAACGGATAAACAGCTGTAAAGAACATGTGTTATACCCAGAACAAATAAAAACCGGTGGAGCTGCTCGAGACCCTCCAGCGATACAAATGGTTCACGGCCCTGCAATTATTACTGCTAGTTCAGCCACCATTATGTGCCTCATAAATTACAAACAGAAAGAGCAGCGATTTACCTCACCACATTGATGAGAGGTTCGAGTAGTTATCCCTTTTGGAGGAATATCAGTTTTGTTTAGGAAAGTTGTGGAACTTTCAAGTAGGACATCTTCAATTATACCATAATCCTCTTGTGAACAAAGATAGAATTTACTGTTGAAAAGAGATGAATTTACACAAATCTCAGATATCCATCTTGCCCATTGCGCCAACAACAAAGATATTAGTCCAAGCAGCATCAGCTCTAACAAGAAAAAACAGCGGAGAAAGAAAGAATCAAACTTGAAGTTGCAAATGTAGTAAAAAGGATCAAACTTAAAAAGCAATATATTATAATAAAAGTGTATGATTTTCTATATAGAACAGATCAAAATCGAGACCCAAACCCTTTAAAATTTGTTTCATTAATGGATTATAGCCCCACCTTCTTTAAGTTTCTCCAGAGAGGCAAACAAGGCCTTTCTCCTGGTCTTCTTCAACCACTGTAAACACAGAGCATAAAATCAGACATTTAATTCTCCTACTCATCAGAGGGCCTAATAGGCCAAAAAATAAATTGTCTGAACAACTGAATAGTTGAATGTAGCAAAATTTATGAACTTCCAGCGAAAAAAAATGCGTAAAATGCTTTTTGTGGGTCCCAACTTCGAAATCGAAGGCCTCAGTTTCTTTCACCAATCCCACATTTTCTCAGCAACCAAACAGTTAGTTGTAAGAAAATTCGTTTTTTTCTTCAGCATTTGACATATATGAATTCATGTGTGAACGACAAATGAATTAGAAGCGATTCCAAACACAAAGTCTGGCACTTGCCTGCATTTTCTCAGGAACCAAGAAGAGCATTCTTGCAGAACTGATTCCCACTCCCCCCACAAGAAAAACAAACAAAAAAGATTTGTCTTTACCTTTCCAAATCTGTAGATGGAGCGCTCAACTAAGAAGCAAACAAAAACCAATACAGTAACCACCGAAGCTACAGAGTAAGTAGGAGTTTCAGCCAAAGACCTCCCTGGTCTCACCAATACTTCTTCTGCCATTTGTCAAATCATATAAAACCAACAATAACAAGAAAACTCAACTCAACCAGCAAACAAAAAACGAGAACGAAGAAAAAAAAAATGCCACTTTAACGAATTTCTTGGGAAAACAGAGAACTTTCTCTAGAAAGTTTCAAATGGTTAAAAGCTCACAACGTATTAGCTTTCCACCACTTCAAAAAACAGAGACTTTCCTGAGAAAACAGAGAATTTTCTCAAGAAATATTGAAGTGGGTGACAGTGAGGTATAAACTATAAAGTGTAGCATCCAGGAAGTGAGGAAGCGAGTAAAATATGAATCAAATAGCAACCATTGAAACTGAAAAATAAAGTATTATTAAAGTTTTTGTCATTAGTGAAACTTGAAATTGTGAAGAGAACATGGAAGGTCTGATTTTTTTTAATTGTTTATTTGGTTTTTGTTTGTGATTGAGTAAACAAGCCCACTTTTAGTTGCATGGGAATCGCTGCGAGACTTCGCTTTCTCTCTCTTTCATATGCTTCACACTTCACAGCCTACTCTTCACCAAATGCAACCTACTCTCATGGAGGCTGTACTATAAATCACTTTCAATTTCTCTCTTATTGCTTTTGGAATTCTCTTCTTGGAAAGCTTTGAAGGGTCTCTTTTTACTGTTTCTTTCTTATTGGTGAAATGAAGATCATTTGTTGGTGAAAATTTATTATTTATTAATTTCTTTATTGCATGGTAATAAAAAAAAAACAACAAAAGAATAGGATTAAGCCATTACGTATTTAGCTATGCTATCGTACTCAACATCGGCCTTTCTCTATTATGGGCCAACATAAAACCCAGAAGAGAAATGGGCTTTCTAACCCAATTACTCTCTTTGTACTCTTTAGTCTTTACCTGATTTTTTTTTAAATTCTATTTATTATCTATACTAATACTATATCTATATCTATATCTATATTAAAACTGAAATTTAAATTTGATTTTCTCTCTAGTAATTATTCTATTTTTATTTTTTTATAAATTTTTTAATTTTTCAGTATTTTTTATATTTTGATTGGATGTATTTTCAAAATTTTAAAAATTAAGTTTAGAATATTTTCTTGGTAGAATTACTTATTTAACATTTTCTTTAAATTTAAAAGATTAAATGCTTATTTTAAATTGAAAAGAATTAGAAGTTTAAATTAATTTAAATTTTTATTTGCCTTTTAATAAAAAAAACACTTATTTGTAAAAATATTTGATGTAAAAATATTATATTCTAATATATTATATGTGTAGAATATATTTTAAAAGGTTATTTAGTTTAATTTTATTTTTTAAAATTTCATTTTCAATAAATTTACATTTTTGTTATAATTTTGGAATTTATTTATTTTCTATTGTTTGATTTCCAAATTTTATAATATTATTTGATGATTGTGGATTTTAGTTAATTAATCTCATGGATTTTGATAGAATTTTCTCCTATTATTCTGTTTAATAACTGATTCATCTGATTTCATTGTTTAAAAAATCCATAAAAATTATTTTCCTCAAAACCAATTTGTGTTTAGACATGCCCAACGTGGATTGTAGCTATTGGAAATCACACGAACAGTACCGTAAACTACAGCAGTCAATCTTTACCCAATTTGAAACGCAAAATCCTACTAACTCCACTCTCTAGAAATTTCCTAAACCCCTAAGAAAACCCTAACGCTGTTTCTCATTCACCTCCTCCTCCTCTACCACCACCACCACCACCACCGTTAAGCCATGGCTTCGCAATCTCTCCGCCTCCGTCGAGCTCTAACCTCACTGTCCACTGTACACCGCTCTCTTTCTTCTCCAATAATCCCTACCTCCTATCCTCGTCTCTTTGAAAACCCAATTTCTCCCTCACCGTTCGCGCGATCGCCCGAAATTTCTCTCTTCCAAACGCGAACATTTACAGGATCGCGAATTTCTCTCTCATCCGCAGGAAAAAAACAGTATAGGGTTTACAAAGAAGGGGATGAGTTGACAGAGGATATGGTGCTATTTGAGGGCTGCGATTTTAATCACTGGCTGATTACTGTTGATTTTCCTAAAGACCCGAAGCCCACACCTGAGGAGATGGTTGCCACTTATGAGCGGATCTGCGCTCAGGGACTTGGAATCAGGTTAATCTAATTGTTGTTTGTTTTATAGTGCGGGCGCTTTCAGTACCCATATATCTTACCCAATCGATGATTTTAGTTATAAAGTTATGGTGTTCAGTGATTGGAGCTCTGAAGTTGCAATTTTCAGTTATTGCAGCTTTGAAATTGTAAATTTTACACTGGAGCTGCAAAGTTGTAATTTTTAGTGATTGGATGGAGGTTTGAAGTTGTAATTTTCAGGATGAGAAACTCTAAATAAAAATCTTCTTTCAGGGGAAGGGAATTGTTGGGTGAAGCTTGATTTTGGTTTGAACTTCTAAGAATTGAAAGCAAAAGTAAATTAAATATATATTTTACCTTACTGGATTGCTAATCTCTTATGCATGAGCTGTATTACAAGGTGTTATTAAAAAATTTACAACAATATTGATTTATTTACTTGCTATGTTTAGGTTTTCTTGAAAATTTGAATTTTTTTTATTTTAAATGGCTGACTTTGAATCATTTGATGGTTTCAGTATTGAGGAGGCGAAGAAAAAAATATATGCTTGTAGCACCACTACTTATCAGGGGTTTCAGGCTTTGATGACAGAAGAGGAATCGGAAAAGTTTAAAGGTTATTAGTCTTCATAGCATCTTCTTTTTATAATAAACTATATAAACTGATATTTGGTAGAACTTTTTGTAAGGTCTGGATGCTGACTAACTGTTTTCTTTAAAACAGATATACCTGGAGTTGTTTTTGTATTGCCAGATTCTTATATTGATCCGCAAAACAAAGAGTATGGAGGTGAGATTTCTCCCTTCTGAAATCTATTTTTGAGATCGTAATTAAGAAGATGATAATGATAACGGAGGCATGAGGGTACTAAATAATCTCGACTCCATCAAATAAGCTACAATTTGCCCTCCCTCTTCAGAAAGAATAAAATAAAAGGAATAGATATATTGTTTATAATTTTGTTATCTTTATTCATTGTTAAAGGTTATAAGCTAATTCAACCTGCTATATTCAGTTTGGTGTTTTTTTCTACTCTTCTAGAATAATATTGGCCTGTTTTGCTTTTGGTAGCTAGGCATGGAAGTATATATGACATTAAGTTGTTGGACTTTTGACTTAAATTACAGGAGACAAGTATGAAAATGGAATAATAACACCAAGACCGCCTCCTGTTCAATATAGGAAGGGAGGAAGATTCAATGACAGGAATAGAAACCCTCCCCAAACAAGATATGACCAGCAAGGAGGTCCAATGCCAAATCAACGTGGAAGTCCCCAGTACAGTCAACAAGGATATATACAAGGTGGTGAGAACTATGGACCTCCACGAAATTACCCACCACAGCAAAATTATGGTCCGCCAGGACAAGGAGACAGAATGCCAATGAACAATAGGGAGCATGTTCCTGGAGGAAGGGGTGCATATCAGGCAAATACAGTTCCATATCAGGGCTCTTTCAGCCATGGCCAGCAGGGAGGCTATCCCCAAGATCAAAGAAGAGGTCAATATCAGGGCAATTACCAAGTTCAACAGGGAAATCATTATCCACAAGATCAAAGGGGCTTCCAACATACTGGAACTAATGGGCAGGTTTCAAATACTGGCTATGAACAGGGTTCGAGTACTGGCTATGGGCAGGGTTCAAATGCTGGCTATGGGCAGGGTTCAACTGCTGGTGGCTATGGGCAGGGTTCAAATGGTGGCTATGGGCAGGGTTCAAATGCTGCTGACTATGGGCAGGGTTCAAATGCTGGCTATGGGCAGGGTTCAACTGCTGGTGGCTATGGGCAGGGTTCAAATGGTGGCTATGGGCAGGGTTCAAATGCTGCTGACTATGGGCAGGGTTCAAATGCTGGCTATGAAAATGCTGGCTATGGGCCAGGGTTCAACTGCTGGTGCTATGGGGCAGGGTTCAAATGCTGGCTATGGGCAGGGTTCAACTGCTGGTGGCTATGGGCAGGGTTCAAATGGTGGCTATGGGCAGGGTTCAAATGCTGCTGACTATGGGCAGGGTTCAAATGCTGGCTATGGGCAGGATTCAAATACTGGCTATAGGCAGGGTTATATGAATGAAGGTCAAAGGTTCTCTCATATGGGGCAGAGGAACATGCAAGGAGAGCAAGCAAATTATGCACCAAGCGGACAACCAGGGACAAATCAAGTAAGATAAACATAACCTGTTAATCAGTTCTATAGCCTGAGATAAGATAAATATCATTTAGGGAGGCTCTTAAATATGTGTCCATGACAAGCAGGGTATTCTTGCTGCAATGATAAGATGAAATGCCATTTTTGCAATGATAAGCAGGGTATCATTTAGGCAAGTTGTAGTGAGAAATGACGACGGCATAGGTGACTGCATTGGCTCTTATTCAGTCTTTTAATCGCTACTCTACAATTACTAATTGACTCCACTTTGTAATTTTCTCCAACACAGGGTAAAATCAAAGAAATTGATGTTTGAACATGAAACCTTTGAAGGTTCTGATAAAATGAGCAACTTTAATTATAGTTGCTAGCTTCCTTTTGCTATCTTGATATTTACACAAATTTTCTTTTGTGCAGGGAAGATACTAGGAGTCTCCATACGGTTCTTTTAAGGCAATGGATTGTAAATCACTCTTATCCTGACTTGAGAGCAAGGATACAACATAAAACCTTTTTGAAGTGCGTCGCAGTAAATAGTCTTGCCTTTCATATTTACATTCAGCTGATTAGGAAAGTAGGGAGTAACCCTTTCCCATTTGATATAAGAACCTGAAATCAGTTATCTGGACGTACAAGTATATTGCATATGATGTGGGCTTAGCGCCAGAACGTTGTTGCCTTTTTTTTTTTTTTTTTTTTTTTTTTTTTTTTTTTTTTTTTTTTTTTTATCTCTATTCTGTTTTTCATCTTTAATTATATAAACCGGTTGGCAGACCAAAAAATGATTGTTTTTTTAAACTTTTAAACCCCAAAGGCATGAACAATATTTCAGCACTGTCTTTTATGATTTTGTGTTCCCAGTTTTTTTTTTTTTTTTTTTTTTTTTTTTTTTTTTTTTTTTTTTTATCTATCTATCTGTTTTCATCTTTAATTATATAAACCTGGTGTCAGACCAAAATGATTGTGTTTTTTAAACTTTTAAACCCCAAGGATGGAACAATATTTCAGCACTGTCTTTTATGATTTTGTGTCTCCCAGTTTTCTATAGAAAATGTGGATGCATGACTTTGTTAAGTGCTGGGGAAAAGAAAGAGGGCAAGGAAATAAGTATGAAGATGGTTAACGTATTTATTTTTGAAGCCTGATGTCTAAGGAGTGTTAGACGGTACCTATAAAAGCAACTGCAGTTAAAATTCCTCTTTTGAATAATTTTGAAATTGAATTAACACATTGTTCTAATATGAATGAATAAAACCTGCAGCTGGCATTCTTCTTTTGAATAATTCTGAAATTGAACTGCCGCATAATTCTAATGTGAATAAAATTGAATTAACAAACAATACTTGAATAAAATTGAATTAACACGTAATTCTAATACGAAAAAAGAAAAATTGTCTTAAAAATTAGTTCTTGAGAAGTAATTGAAATTTAGTTCTTTTTCTAACTTTTATTTTAGAATTTGTGAAACATTGGTGTTGCAATTTTTTTTTTTTTCTTTTTTGAGGAATAAAAGAAATTAGTGCTGCAAATTTTTTTTGTTCGAGGATAATTAGCATTGGAATTTTGGTTTAACGACATCGTATCTTTTTTACCTGCCAATATATTTAAATTCAATTTTTATTCTCTTTCAATGTTAATAAATCAAAATTCAAAAAAAATTAACCTGAATATTAAAATAGATACACGTTATACAAATCAAATTTTTTTAAAAAATTATCTAGAAAACTCTTTTGATCCCATTAGCTAATTTTAAGATCAAATTATGGTAAATTAAAATTTTAAAATTAAATTGAATCAAATTAAATTATTGATTCAATTTTTCAGACGTAAGGTCAAGTTGTCCAATCCGATGCGGTAAAGCCCATCTTTTTATTCTATGATCTTGAAAAACCGTTTATGCTGTTAAACAAATAGCTTCCAATGGTTTGCCTGAAATTTCCCACCATTTTCGCGTAGGCCTCTCTCCTTCTTCCTCGTGGTAGTAGTGCTGCTGCTGCTTCTCTCTGTTTCTCTCTATCTATCTTTCTCTCTCTCAAGACAAAAGAAATAAATATTTTAGAAAAAAAAAAAAAAAAGAAAAAGAAAAACTTTTGCTCTTTCCTCCTTCATGTCCATGTCCATCCACTGATCCTGCGTCTCTTCTTCGCTTCCCTGCCCTCAGGTAACCCGAATAACAATAATAATCTAACCTTCAAAGTTTGCGAGTGAAATGGTGATATGAGTTCTTTTTTTTTTTTTTTTTAAAGGGTTTGGTGAAGATTTTGTTGGTTTTGTTTCTTTAGGCTATTAGATGATTGAATTTGCTATTTTCTTCATAATTTTGGGTTTCTTGCATAATCTTAAAGGCTCATTTATATGGGTTTTCGACGTTGTTAATAAAGTTTTGATTTTGTGTTTCTTCTTGTTGATATATATAATATAATGGTGGCTATGTGGAATTATATTTTGTGAAACATCTAAGAAAGGAAGAACATTAACTATTTTTTTTATTTATCTAATGAGCTGGGTTAGCGTGCTTTTAGGTAATGTCATTAAACAAACATAACTCAAATCCTTGAACAAACTTGAAAAATTAAGGCATCGAACCCAACACAATAATTTTTTAGTTTTAACTGCAGGTAAGGTTCCCCGTATTGACTGTCACTTTCAAATTTTGTGTGTGAGTTGGGAACGGTAGTAGAAGTTTGTTCTTATGTAATGTCATCGTACTTATTATTCATTTGTAATTTTTCATGTCTCTCTAACATTTTCAGGAAGAGACGATTCGTGGATCAGCTTATGGGACTGTGACCTCTGATAGATGAATTCATATATCTATGTTCCATCTTTCCTGAATGGTTGATTATGATATTAGGAACTTCTATCAAGCGGTGAAGTTCCCAAGGAGATGATAAAACTATGGAAGTCATATTTGAAGGAGGCATCTGTTCTCTGCTGGTGCTTCATAGTTTGTTAATTAGGTTCTAATTGATGAACCATGGACCTTTAGTAAGTAAAGATTAGATGAGAGAAGAATTTGATATTTGCTTAGTTAACAAGTCATCAGAATGGGTAGTGGAAGTCCCAATTCCCAGATTACTCCATATACTGGGGCAACAACTTCTGTAGAACCTTCTTTTTTGCATGGTGAATTGGATTTATGGATTATTGAAGCTAAATCTCTCCCAAATATGGATTTACCTGCAGAGCATATTAGAAGATGTTTTACTGTGTTTGGATCATGCTCTGATCCTTGTGGACAGAAAGGTGTGAAGCATTCAGGCAAAAACTCAATGATTACAAGTGACCCTTATGTATCTGTTTGCCTTGCAGGAGCAACGGTAGCACAAACTAGAGTAATTGCCAACTGCGAGAACCCATTATGGGATGAGCATTTCTGTGTGCCAGTTGCACATCCTGTTGTAAAAGTGGAGTTCCATGTTAAGGATAATGATGTGCTTGGGGCTGAACTAATTGGAGTAGTAGAAATATCTGTTGATAAAGTCATTTCAGGAGATCTAATTAATGATTGGTTTCCGGTCATCGGTCATTATGGGAATTGTATGAAACCTGATCCTGAATTACACATTTCCATTCAGTATAAGCCGGTTTGTAAAAACCCTCTATATAAAGATGGTGTTGGTGTCGGACCAGATTATGCAGGTGTTCCTAGTACATACTTCCCGCTCCGCAAAGGAGGGAATGTGACTTTATATCAAGATGCTCATGTACCTGCAGGTATGCTACCTGAAATTTTACTTGATGGTGGAAAAGTTTTCAAGCATAATAGATGTTGGGAAGATATTTGCCATGCCATTTTGGAGGCAAACCACCTGATATATATTATTGGATGGTCAATATACCATCCTGTTAAGCTTGTGAGGGAGCCAACAAAGCCACTACCTTGTGGAGGAGAGCTGAACTTAGGAGAGTTATTGAAGTACAAGTCACAGGAAGGGGTACGCGTAGTTTTGCTGATATGGGATGATAGAACTTCACATAACAAATTTTACTTAAAAACGGTAATACTCATGAAACTTAATATATGTTGCAAATAGGTCACGCAATTTTTGAATTCTACTGTTGCATTGACCGATTATAGCCCTTTTTCTATAAAATTTCTAATTGACATTACTTTGATTCAGTTAAGATATCTATTCACTTTTTTCTATGTGGGCTTGAGTGCAGGAAGGTGTCATGCAGACCCATGATGAAGAAACTAAGAAGTATTTTAAAAACACTAGTGTCCATTGTGTTCTTGCACCTCGTTATGCTAGCACTAAGCTTAGCATTTTCAAGCAACAGGTGTGAAATACTTATATTTGGATTTCAAACTTCCATGTATTGATGTTGTGACTGTATTTTTCTATTAGTTATCTCTCCAAAATGTCACATAATTTTAGTATTATTTGGATTTCAATTTTATTCTTTGATTTGTGTGCATCCTTCTAGTTCAGGTTGTAGGAACACTTTTTACACATCATCAGAAGTGTTTAGTTCTCGACACTGATGCTTCTGGAAATAAACGGAAAATTACAGCTTTCATTGGTGGTTTGGATTTATGTGATGGCAGATACGACACTCCTGAGCACAGGCTTTTCTCTGATCTTGACACAGTCTTTGAAAATGATTACCATAACCCTACATTTCCAGTAAGTGATTACTCTTCATTCCGGAGCTCTCTATATGATTGGTCTGTATTTCAAGGCATTGATTAATTATCTGCCCAGGATAATGCCAAAAGCCCAAGGCAACCTTGGCATGATTTGCATTGTAAAATTGAGGGTCCAGCTGCATATGATGTATTGACAAATTTTGAACAAAGATGGGGAAAGTCCAAATGGCGTGACTTCAGGCTGAGAAAGGTTACTCAATGGCGTGAGGATATATTGATAAAGTTGGATCGTATTTCATGGATACCCACTCCTTCCCCTGGTCCTGATGGTGACAAAAATGTACGAGTCACTGATGAAGAAGATCCCGAGAATTGGCATGTGCAGGTATGCCGGAAATTGTTGTACTGAAGATTATTTGCTCATATTAGCCCTTCAGAAATAAACGTCTACTACGATTTCTTTTGTAGATATTCCGGTCTATAGACTCAGGATCTGTAAAGGGATTTCCAAAGGCCACTGAGGAAGCTGTGGCTAAGGTTAGAACTAGGTTCATTTAATACCTACTTATAACCTTACATCAAAATCAAGATAATATTTATACTACATTGTTCGAAGTAAAATCTACCTTAATAATGTTGTTCCTTCTCTGCAGAATCTTATATGTGGGAAGAACCTGAAGGTAGATAAAAGCATTCATACTGCATACATAGAAGCAATAAGATCAGCACAACATTTCATATATATCGAGAATCAGTATTTTGTCGGATCTTCCTACCATTGGCCATCATACAAAAATGCAGGTATAAATATCACATGGCAATTATTTTTTCTCACTGCTGCATAAATTTGATACTCTTAATATCACAGACTTAGATCTCATGAATGACATGTATGTACTTTAAGTTTCTCTTCTTTTTTCCATTTAGCTTTATGCATTAACATATAAATGCTACTTACATTTTCTCTCCTTGAGCAGGTGCGGATAATTTAGTCCCTATGGAACTGGCCTTGAAAATTGCTAGCAAAATCAGTGCACATGAGCGTTTCTCAGTATATGTAGTACTACCGATGTTTCCAGAAGGTGTCCCTACTAGTGCCTCTGTACAAGAGATTTTGTTTTGGCAGGTTAAACTAATTTCCATTCTATGCATGCCAACTATCATTTTTATGTCATATTCTGCTTATTTCGTGGTAGTCCTCTATATTCATATTTGCATTGCATATTAAGCATCTAGATTTCCTTTTTCTAACAGCTGAAGCTAATTTGAGGATTAAATTTACAGGGGCAGACAATGACCATGATGTACAAGATTATTGCTAAGGCACTCAAAGATGCAGGCCTCTCTGATCAGTATCATCCACAGGACTACTTGAACTTTTTTTGCCTTGGCAAACGTGAAGCTTCATCTGCATACAATTCTTCCCAGCTAAATCAGACAACCGACAACCGTTCCCTGGTATGCTTGCTTGTCTACCTTAGGAACTATGTACAAGCTTGCCCTTTCCATTTATTTCAAACACCCAAAAGCCATTTTGGGTGTTCAATGCATATTCATTCTTGATGCTTTGTGGCATGATTAACCTTACAGCTTTATATTATCTTCTATTTTGCTTTTCTTAAGCTTAGTTATTCTGTTATGTAGAAATCACAATTTCCATTTTCTCAACTTGACCTTAAAAACCAGACATTAATGTGTTTTTTTCTCCGCAAAATGGTAACTACTGACGACATGACATTATGCTGTGTCTGACGTATAAAATATCGTTTTTAATTATCTTTATAACACTAAGCTGACATAGAACTGCCTCTTTCTTTTCTTAACAGGCAGCAGCTCAAAAATATGGCAGATTTATGATTTATGTCCATTCTAAAGGGATGATAGTTGATGATGCATATGTAATTATAGGATCAGCAAACATTAACCAAAGATCCTTGGACGGTTCAAGGGACACAGAAATTGCAATGGGTGCTTACCAACCAACTTATACTTGGGCAGCAAAAAAATCTCATCCACGTGGCCAGGTTTGAAACTTATGTTTTTTTCTTCACTCGGTACACATGTTAGGACAGGCAAATTTTCAAATTCAATATATGGAATTTCTTTTTTCGGGGTGTATTCTCTTAATATGTCCTTCAGAATTACAAAAATTCAGTCGGCAAAATGGAAAAAAGAATCTTTTTTACATGCAAACAAAGCATTTTAGGTTGTTCTCTATTACCAGCAAGAATCTTTCTTTTTTTTCAAAAGGAACTAAAGAAGGAAGAAAATGACTGGAACAATAGGAATGAGAGCATTTTAGTTTATAAGCGATGTTTAAAACTGCAAATTATGTATGTATAATCTATACTTGAGCGTGCAAAACATGACGTATATGCAGGTATATGGTTATCGGTTATCCCTGTGGGCAGAGCACCTGGGCATTCTCGAGGAGGATTTCCGCAATCCGCAGTCTGTTGAATGCATGAAGCTTGTCAATAAAATTGCAAAACGAAACTGGAATACCTATGTAGCTGAGGAAAACAAGGAAATGAGAGGTCATTTAATGCAATACCCAGTTCAAGTCAACAGAGATGGAAAAGTTAGTTCATTGCGAGGCCACCAAACGTTTCCTGATGTTGGAGGAAAAGTTCTTGGATCACCAACTACACTTCCTGATGCTCTAACCACATAATATTCAATTCAAGTTTTCACCAAAAGTCTAACTGAGAAATATGGATGAGTTTATACACCAAATATAATTTAAGGGAAGAAGTTTTTTGAGATTCTTGATAGGCGGAGCGGGGACTTTAAGGATGAATATTTCTAACATATACCATTGTTGCAACTTCTAGCTAGGATCACGATGATAAAGTTCTGCTAGTATATACTAACCAGAACTTGACAAAAGCACATGAAGTTTCTGACTAATGCTAGAAAGTGGATATAGAAGATGTTTAGAGCAACTGAAAATGTTTAAAATCTGAATTTTATCAATATTTGTTTTATTTCAAATTTTCAGAGATTATCATGTATATGCATTTTCTTGTCTCCGAAGAAATTCAATGGTGAAATTCATTATAGAAAGTTTGGAGGAAATAATCTTAATATAGTCTAAAATATTAAACAATGTACTGATGATATATAACCATAAACTATAACTCATAGTCATATGTATGAACTATGCATGGATATGATATTAATGTTGCATTATTAACGGTGAAGATAACTTAATACTCTATAGTTGGATATAAGGTATAGTAATTATTGTTGAGGTTTGATAACACATCAATGACCGCATAGCGCAGTGGATTAGCGCGTTTGACTTCGGATCAAAAGGTCGTGGGTTCGACTCCCACTGTGGTCGTTCTATTTTAATTTTTAATTTTTATTATCAGTATTCAATAAATAAATGAAATTGCATTAAATTAAACATATCATTCAAATAAGTCTGCATAATAATCCCTTTAAACCCATTAACTTTCAATTATTTTTAAACAACATTCTCTGTTTATTCATTAGTGATTGTCGACCTAAATTGAAATTTTTTTTGAGTATTGCATTTACCGTTAAACTATAATTTGATATGAAAATTGAAATAGTTGGTATATATATATATATCAATGATTTACTACCAGCATTTTTTATAATTTTTATTTTCAATTTTATCATTTTTAATATTGTTATTACACAAGTAGCATTATTATATTTTTCTTAGTTTTTCTTTTACTGTTTCCTTTTTTCTTTATTTCATATATGATTGATGTACATATTTAATGGATATGACATTGTCATTTCGAAAACCTTGACCCGGAAATTTGGCTTGGTTATCCATAACCCGCCTGCTAAGACCCGTGAACACTGGGCGGAGTTGCATTCCACTTGAACTCTAGGGTTTTAAGTCTCTCTGCAAAATTCTTTCTTTTTCATTCTCATTTGGAATTAAGGTGAATATCAACTGAATTTTGATTTTCAGTGCATGGTTCTTTTTCTTCTTTACATGCAATAGTTACTTAAGTGGATTAAGTTGCTCTGTTCTCCAGGCATCTCAAAATAGTTTTGTTCAGTAATGGCTTCAACAGGACAATCACAATCTTTGAAGAGACGAGATGCGCCGGTAACAAGAGAAGGGGATCAACTAACTGTAACTCCTCTCGGCGCCGGAAATGAAGTGGGTCGGTCTTGTGTATACATGTCCTATAAGGGCAAAACAATCCTGGTACGAAATATTGTTAGATTTTGTTCAGTATTTTTCATTTTTTTAAGTGGAAATTAGTAAATTTAATCTTCGGTGTTTAGTTTGATTGTGGAATTCATCCAGCTTATTCGGGCATGGCTGCCTTGCCATACTTCGATGAGATTGATCCTTCCACTATTGATGTACTCCTTATCACCCAGTATGTATTCTGTCTATCTTTTGCTATATTCAGTTGATTTTTTATGTGTCAGCATTTTCTTGTGCTTAAAGATTGGTAATTTAAGTTCATATAATTGATTGCCACAGTATTTCTTATAAGGATGTTTATTGGGGTTGTATAATTTAGTAAACCTAAATTAAAGGTTTGCAAAGAGGGTCTAATATATCTTGTTGTAATTCTGTAGAAAAGATTTAGTACTATTCATTTTCTTTTCTTTTATATAAGTTATGGGCTAAGGAGTAACAGTTTTATATTCTACATGTGAACGGCGATTTTCAGGTATTTAAGGTTTTCAGGTTTTTCGTGTAATGATGATGCATTATTAGGTACACAATTGTATGAGAATATGTAAAAAGTAAGATGTACAAGTATCTCAGAATTAGGGAAATTCTGAGTGTTGTGTGCTTACTCTGTTGTTTGTTGCTTCAGCAAGAAGCTAGGTATACAAGGTTATAAGAGTTAATAGTGGATTGGACGGGTCAAAAGACTAGGGTGAGATGTAGTGTGTGAATAAATAGTTGTTTATAATTGTTTGTATCTTCTTTTAGGTGATTTGAAATTGGTGGGAGTTCTTTCTGAAATATCAATGAAGTCTGAATTAGTTAGGGGCTTAGGGCATTTTAAAATAGCACTTAGGTTTTCCCAAAAAAAAAAAAAATGATAATAATACTGTAATCTTTCTTCTTCATCTTCTTTTCTTTTGTTGAGTTCAATTGGTGGTTTCCGTTTCTGCTATCTTCCATTACTTTCTGAAATGAGATTAGTTTGCCTTTTGTCTGTCTCTCTTCCCCATCCTCCTCTCTAGCTTTTTCACTTTATTTATTGTAGTGATGTTTTTGTCTTGCAGCTTTCACTTGGATCATGCTGCATCTCTACCTTATTTCTTGGAGAAGGTTTGTTTCTATTTGGACAAATTAAGTACTAATTATCTGTAGAGGTTTCTTCATAATTAAACTAATATATAGTCACTTTCTATACCAGACCACGTTTAAGGGTCGTGTGTTCATGACTCATGCAACCAAGGTTATTTATAAGTTGCTGTTAACTGATTATGTGAAAGTGAGCAAGGTTTCAATTGAAGACATGTTGTTTGATGAACAAGATATAAATCGTTCCATGGACAAAATTGAGGTTCGTGTTGTTTGCTTGTTGCACTTCTTTTGTTTCTCCCCCAAAATTGAGTTTTCTACAACTACACTACCTCTATAGAAGTTTTTTCCCCCGCTATATAAAGTGATATAAAGCTTAGTTCTTTTAAGCAACATTGTAATGAAACGTGTATCAGGTGAAAATGCTAGAACTTTAATTTTCTAATTTTGTTCTCTTTTTATCAGACTGACATCCTATTATTGTTAGCTATCTGATAGTATATCTTTGTGTGCTTGCATCTGCATGAATGTATCTATAGCTAAGCATGTGTAACAAGACATTGATGCCTTTTGTAATTGTAGGTTATTGATTTCCATCAAACAGTGGAGGTCAATGGCATTAAATTTTGGTGTTATACTGCTGGCCATGTCCTTGGTGCTGCCATGTTCATGGTTGATATTGCTGGTGTTCGAGTACTGTATACTGGAGATTATTCACGTGAAGAAGATCGACATCTTCGTGCTGCTGAGATGCCACAGTTTTCTCCTGATATATGTATAATTGAATCTACTTATGGGGTCCAACTCCATCAACCTCGACATATTCGAGAGAAGCGGTTCACTGATGTCATCCACTCAACCATTTCTCAAGGGGGTCGTGTTCTAATCCCAGCATTTGCCCTTGGGCGTGCCCAAGAACTTCTCTTGATCCTTGACGAGTTCTGGGCAAACCATCCTGAGCTCCATAACGTTCCTATATATTATGCTTCTCCCCTTGCAAAAAAGTGTATGACTGTCTATCAGACATATATCCTTTCAATGAATGAGAGGATTCGCAACCAGTTTGCAAACTCGAATCCATTCAAATTCAAACACATATCGCCCTTAAACAGCATAGAGGATTTCACTGATGTGGGGCCATCAGTTGTCATGGCAAGTCCTGGTGGACTGCAAAGTGGGCTGTCAAGGCAGTTATTTGATATGTGGTGCTCCGATAAGAAAAATGCTTGTGTTATACCTGGATATGTTGTTGAAGGAACCCTAGCGAAGACCATCATTAATGAACCAAAGGAGGTCACTCTAATGAATGGTCTAACTGCTCCATTGAACATGCAGGTCCATTATATTTCATTCTCTGCTCATGCGGATTATGCTCAGACAAGTACATTCTTGAGAGAGCTCATGCCTCCTAACATAATTCTTGTTCATGGAGAAGCCAATGAAATGGGGAGGCTCAAACAGAAGCTTATCACAGAGTTTGCAGATGGCAACACCAAAATCGTCACCCCTAAGAATTGTCAGTCTGTTGAGATGGTTTTCAACTCTGAAAAAATGGCAAAAGCAATTGGAAAACTGGCTGAAAAGACCCCAGAAGTGGGCGAAACCGTCAGTGGCATACTAGTAAAGAAGGGCTTCACTTATCAAATGATGGCACCTGAAGATCTCCATGTATTCTCACAGCTATTGACAGCAAATATTACGCAGAGGATTACCATTCCATTCTCCGGTGCCTTTGGTGTGATAAAGCATCGACTTGAGCAAATATATGAGAGTGTGGAATCTGGGACAGATGAGGAGTCTGGAGTTCCAACGCTGCAAGTGCATGAGCGAGTGACAGTGAAGCAGGAGTCTGATAGACACATTTCGCTTCAATGGAGTGCAGATCCTATAAGTGATATGGTGTCTGACTCGGTTGTAGCTCTAGTTTTGAACATCAGTCGGGAGATGCCAAAGGTTGTAGTTGAGTCAGAGGCTGTAAAATCAGAGGAAGAAAATGTGAAGAAAGCAGAGAAGGTTATCTATGCTCTCCTTGTCTCGATCTTTGGAGATGTGAAGCCTGGAGAGAATGGGAAACTGGTTATAAGTGTTGATGGGAATGTGGCACAGCTGGACAAACAGAGCGGAGACGTTGAGAGTGAAAATGCAGGTCTCAAGGAAAGAGTGAAGACTGTGTTTAGGCGAATTCAAAGTGCGGTGAGGCCAATTCCACTCTCTGGATCATAACTTGTTCCTATTATTTTGAGTATAGGTTTTAACATGTTGTGTCTGAATTGTGAGGATAAATTTTGTTGCTGTAAAACTCTAATTTCTAGTATGTACAGCTTACTAGAAGGAGATAATATATATAGCATCTGAGCTCTTTATGTAATTCTCATTTTGTTTATCTTGGAAGTTTCTTTCTAATGATCAATTTTTAACATTTGTGAGCTTTTTGGTTAGTCTCATGTGTATTGATACCTGTTTAAGTTATAATTTGGTAGGTGCTCTTCTGAAAGGATTTTCCATTTATAATGATTAATTTTTTTTTGGAAATTTCCTCTTAGGGCCAGGTTTAAGCCACGAGGCCTACAACTTTTAGTTCTGAGACTGCTGGTGCTCGAAAATTACTAAAAAATTATGAGTAATTATTTTTTTAAGATTAAGTCTAAATATGATAATTAAACTATCAATTAATAATAGATAATTCATATCTACTAGTTGCGATTCAGTTGGTAATGCAGACTGAGAAAGAGTTCTCTGGTTTGATCCTCACTAAATCTTCATTAAATGCACCTGCAGAGGGCGTAAACCTTAATTGTGATTGAGTCCCGAGCCGGTCCTTAGTAACAGTAAAAAAAACAGATAACTAATAATTTATTATAAATATGAAATTGAAATTTGTATATAATACTTTACGGGCAAAAAATTAAATGATTAATTAACACCAAGGATGCATGAGAAGTCCGTCACCCACTCTTATACTAGTACATATCACATTAAAATATTATTGCAAATGTTTAATTGGTATTTTAAATTTTTTTTTAATAAATTAATCAAAGATTAATTATTTTTCATTATTTTTTTTAAAGGAAAACATGAATGCATTAACCATTAGAATAAACTTGATACGGGCAATCTAGAATATGTCCCGCACTCTAAAAATGGCTTCTCCATAAGAGGCCTTCGCGACGGTCTGAGCTCCTCCTACATTAGCCGGACAACGAATCTAACTAACAAAAATATTAGGCGTATGTACCGATATAGTTTTACAATCCTTAATAAACACAACTAAATTCAGGAAAATCCTCTAAAAATGAGCTAATAGCATAATCAACTAACTGATAATCTGTAAATAGCCTTCCAGCAGAAAGCAAATTCGCTTCAGCCCATACAAGGGCTTCTCTCAAAGCTAGAGCTTCAGTTAAAGAGGCTCCAGTGCCCAATTCATGAAACAAACAATTTCTGCAGATACTATTTCTGCTTCAGTTATCATCAATAATTGTCAAATACACGCAAATTGCAGCATGAAAGGTATTGTAACAATAAAAATAAATACTAAAATATATCAGTTATATAAAGAGAATGAATTCACTAAAACAAATGCATGAATTCAATTGATTTTTCCGTCTCAGATTTTATGAAATTGAATGCTATTGTTTTTTTTATCGGTAAAATGAATGTATTTTATTAGTTTAAATCCAGGAAAAACTTAGCTTATTCAAGAAACTATACCCGAACCATAAGACTCTCCACTTACACCCATCCTATTTTGAATAAGCTAAGTGAAAAAACCTGGACAAGCTAGCGATATCCAAGAAATTAATACTATTGTTAATGATAAGCTATACAAACCCCAAACACATCCTAGATTACTTAAATTGACAAACAATGACTGTAATATCATCATATTTGCCTCCAGTATGCAAGTACCCAGCCATCTCAGCCTCTCTAGCAAAAGGAGAATGATATTCTTCATCAACAGAATTAAACAAAGCACGTTCTACAATTCTCCAAGCTAATTCCTCTGCAGATACTTCATTTTTCCCATCAGCTTTCTCCAAGATCTTCGTTATTTCAGATGGATAAATGTTATCAAGCAAACCATCAGTTCCTGCAACTACAATATCTCCAGCTTCCACAAGAATCTTTTCCTCATAAGCCAAACAAGGCAGATCATCACTGCAAGTCCCTAGTTGATATGGGTGATTAAACTCATGTTGCTGCACCTTAGACTTGTAAATATATTTGTTTTCTCTAAATAGCAGAAATCCACTATCTCCAAGATTGACATAATGCAAGCAATTATTGCTATCAATAGTAATGATACAGGCGGTTGACGAACCTTTAACATTAGTGTTTGAATAAGCCTCCTGTAGAACTTTTCTGGGATTTACGCTTCCTTTCTTTTCACCTTGAAGCGCAATAATGGAGTTTTCCATGAGTCGGCGAGCATATATGCCGGCATCGACGCCTTTTCTTGCCCAACCTCCAACGCCATCTGCAACACCAATGGTTAACTTTTCTTTGCAAATAAAATGAGCGTCTTCTCCTTGTGGTCTTTCTTTGTCGTCTTTTGGTAGGTAAAAGGCTCCTGCGTTCATCTTCAGTGTTTGGTCATCTTTCTTATGAAAATAGTCAATGTTATTTTCATCGCACTTAGTGACGATACTGAGCTCTACGTGCCCTTCTACTTTCCTTCTCTTAACTATCATTTCTCACTCGATATGCAAAGAAAGGGAAGAACAATAATGGAAAGTGCTAGGTTCGAAGAAAGAAAGGGAATAAAACAATAGGAAAGTACGTTAGGGTTTGATGATTATGGTAGAATGAAAAACTGAGTTCTGTTAAGATACATAATATGTGTTGCGTATAGAAAAAACTTGTACTTTATCGGAAAGGACAATAATGCAATTTAAGGTTTTTTATATGTAGAAAGGAAAGAAACAACAGTGGGAAAGGGAAAAAACAATATACTCAAGGGAGATTAATGATGATTAAGAAAAAAACAATGGAGATTAGGGTTTTGAAATGCAGATAGGAAAGAAAGAAGAACGTGAAGATGATGGGAAGAAAAGGAAAAACAGTATCTTTATCGGGGATTAATGATGAACAAGAAAATAAAACAATCGAAATTAAGGTTTTGATGAAGATGATGAAATGAAAATATGAGTTCGTTATGATGTATAGCATTGTATAGGAGCAAAGTAGCTTGTTACTTACGTTTCTGGAACTTGTTTGTTTGTACTTTATTTACAATTTGATTTTGTTTAATACATTGATGAAAAAAAAATATTTTTAACTAATAGAGATTATTTAAAAATTTAAAACTGAGAGAAAAATATTTAAAGTAATAATTATAAAAAAGTACAGAATAAAATATTATTTTTTATTAACAATAATAATCTGTTAACGATAATTAAACGAAAATTTTGATTTAAAAAATTATAGAGTTAGAAAATTATTAGAGTTTTAATTAAGTGAATAATGGGTATTTAAATTTTGAAATTTAAATTCGATAAAGTAATAAAAATATTATCAACCGTCCGAATGTGCACTATTGAGTTAAATCAAATCAATATTCAATAAATCCGATGCATTTTAATGAAATTTATATTTTGTAATTTGGCGAGAGTGATAATCTAATCTATTGCATAATTTAAGAATAATTATTTATTGCATAATCTAACAACAATTATTTATTAGAATTATTTATTTTAGAGAAACAAATGTATTACTTTGTACCAAACAATTATATAAAAAATATTTATTTCACAAATAACTATTGAAATATTACTTTAAAAAGAATTTTGTGATTATTTTTTGGTAAATATATATTACGAACGTTTTATAATGATGACGCTTAAAAAATTTTTGTTTGGGAGAAATATTTTTAACAGAAAAGAAAATAATATTTAAATATATGGCTTTTAATTATTCTAATATGAGGAAGTCAGAATCTCACAAAAGGACATTTATGGCAGAAGAAGAGCAAGGAGGGGGAGGAGAAGAAGAAGACGATGCCCTTACCACCATCGCCGAGGCCAGTGTTCTTCTTAGCTCCTTTATCTCAATTCGAAGTAAGATCAATTTGACACAATAGTCTATAGAAGCAGTGTTATTATAAAGAGAAATGGGGAGGGGGTCCTGTATTTTCTCTAAGACTAACAAGCGTCGCTTGAAGAAGAAATCGGGTCCACCATCTCCACCAGTAACAGTACCAGCACCTCCTCCTCTACCGTTGAGGGCATCATCGCCAACGCAGCAGTTGATTGATGGCAGTGGTAATACTAATAATAATAGTTTGATTGCGGCGTCGACGGGCGGGAAGCCCAAAAAGAAGGCTGGAGGGGCGAGGCTGTGGATGAGGTTTGATAAGTTTGGGAATTCGGAGCTGATGGAATGTGATAAAAGCACAATTATTAAGCGTGTGGCGATTCCGGCTAGGGATTTGAGGATTCTTGGCCCTGTCTTCTCTCATTCCTCTAATATTCTTGGTAAAGATCATCTTTTTGGTTTTCAATTTTGATTTCGTGAATTTCAATTTTAGTTTTTGAATGTTGTTCTGTGGAAAAATTTTGATGTCTTGGCTACTATCAATTTTGCTTGTGTTTGTGTCTGACAAACTCTATTTATGAAGCAGCTGGTAGCCAAAAAACTATTGATTGAAACGGTTAAACATTACTTTATCTTTCTTTTCATATGTTCAAATCGTCAGTGAGCCATGATCTTTTCCTTACTTTTGCTCATTGATCACAAGTTGGTGAAACTATGATGTCTATTTAGTCATAAGTATCTTGAATCAATTTTCAATTTTTTTTTAAATTTTTTTGCCACAGATTGGATATTATTTTTTACCTTTCGCATTGTCTATTTGAAGTCAATAGTTATGGTCGAAACATTGAGTCAGATTTTATTTTTACTCTTCCAAGCCAGGGAGAAAGCCATGGTTGTCAATCTAGAGTTCATACGGGCTATAGTTACAGCTGAAGAAGTCTTGATATTGGATCCTTTACGCCAGGAGGTTCTTCCATTTGTGGATCAGCTTAGGCAGCAAATTCCTCTTAAAAGGCCAGTCAATAACCAGGGAGCAGGACAGGCAGATACCCAAGATAATGAAATGCACATTTCAGCAGGTGGGCAATGGCTGCCTGTTCCAGAAGCTGTTGAAGGTCTTCAAAGTGAGCTTCCGTTTGAGTTTCAGGTTCTTGAGGTTGCATTGGAGGTTGTCTGCACATATTTGGACTCCAATGTGGCAGACCTAGAGAGAGATGCTTATCCTGTTTTGGATGAGTTAGCCAGGAATGTTAGCACCAAGAATCTTGAACATGTGCGAAGTTTAAAAAGCAATCTCACGCGTCTACTTGCACGCGTGCAGAAGGTATTGTGGATCACTTATGTTTCTTTCTTTCTCCTTGATCTTGTACTTGCATGAGTTCATCTGATTGCATAGTATATGAATATTTATTTTGCAATCTAATGATGAAACTGAAACTTTATATACAAATGAATGAGGAAATTTTGGATGACTTATGCCAACCAATTCATCTATAGACTGAAAAGTTTCCTTCTCGTGCATCTTTTTTTCTGGAACTCAGAGCCAATAACTTAGGGTCCTTGGGAGAGTAATTTTGGTTATTATATCTTGGATGTAATGTTTCCCAGTGTGGATTTAGATTTGGAAGTCAATGCAAAAACTATTTGCTTCTGTTTGAGCAATCACTTAATCCTACAATCTTGCTTTCCCTCTTTTTCTTTTTTTTCTTTAATGCTTGGAAAACTTGTGTGGGAGTCTTGGTTAAGTATGCTGCTCACCTTTGGTTATGTATGTGAAAGTATTCTTGTAAGTCCTTAATGCTTTTGAGCATTTTTTTTGAACCTTTTTGTGTTAATTGTAAAATTATGATATACAATATGATGCTCTTCGATGAATACAGTTTAACTGTGAAACGATTTTTATGCATGAAACAAGTATTACCTAATGGATGCTTCACCATTATTTTTCCTTGATTCATTTTTAATGCTTAGAATTGCTTGTCTATGTATCATTAGGTGAGGGATGAAATTGAACATCTACTAGATGATAATGAAGATATGGCAGATTTATATTTGACAAGGAAGTGGATCCAGAATCAGCAATCTGAGGCTTTATTGGGACCTGCCGCGTCAAATGGCATTCTCCCTGCTGCCCCACACCTCCATCGACTTAATTCTTGTCACAGTGCGAGTATGATGACTGGCGGCAGTTTGGATCAAGATGATGTGGAAGAATTGGAGATGCTGTTTGAAGCTTATTTTATGCAGTTGGATGGAACACGTAACAAGATTTTGTCTGTAAGTACTCTGTGTTACTGATGACACTTTGGGAAAATGTTAAATGTATGTTAGAAACTTGTTCCACAAATCTTCTGTTAGGATCAGATTGTCTATTCATCTACATCTATATCGAAGGGTAACTTCTTCTCGTGCAACTGTTATAGATATTACTATCTAAATTACATAATAGGTCATCACATTTTCACAGCTAGTATAATTTAAGAAGTTCAGTGTGCTTTATGCAAGTTACAAATAACTTGGTTGAATTTGAACATCATGAATGTTTATTAGTATAACCTCTTCTGGTTTCAATCCAAAAATCAGAACAGGAAATACTTGAAATTGGGAAGAAATAGCTTGCTGACAGGATTAATCAACCATCTATGATTCCTTCAGAGTCATTGTATGATGATACTAGTGGCTCGAGCATAACATTGTATGATACTAATGAATTAAGTGCCATTCTTAGACTACTTAACAAAAGTACTAGAATGCTTACATATAGCTCTTCATATCTATATCATAATTTTCAGAGACTATTTCATGTGGTTTGTGAAATCTTACAATTTTACTATTTTATTTCATGTGATCCAATTAATGTTATGGACATCTCACCAATTCTAGGTTAATAAAGCAAGTTTGATAACTTTGTTTACCGGTTATTAGAAAATTGGAATTCTCAAGATCAACCAGCTATGGTAATTATTTAATTCATTTAATTAATGGGAATGTTCCACTTTATCTGAATACACAGGTTCGTGAGTATATTGATGATACGGAAGACTATGTCAACATCCAACTTGACAACCAGCGAAATGAACTCATTCAACTGCAGCTGACATTAACTATTGCATCATTTGCAATAGCATTGGATACCTTGATAGCAGGATTCTTTGGCATGAATATTCCTTGTCGATGGTACCATATGGATGGAATATTTGACTACTTTGTTGGAGTTAGTTCAGCGGGATGTTTCTTACTTTTCCTGCTCATTCTTGGATATGCTAGATGGAAGAAGCTACTCGGTTCGTAAATTTAGCTCATTTTCAATAATACCATGTTCCAATTATTTGGATTCACACAACCAATTACCTTGATACTCCTGGTAAATGAGAAAGTCTTTTGAAATATATACTTGGTAGATGGTGCAACTGATCTGCATCAAATTTGCTTTTTTGAGTTCTGTACATGATGAAATACATTCAATGTATTATTTTGTGGCAAATAATATTCTCTATTTTTTAAACTTCTAAGATGATGATGACTTCATTTATGCCTTTGATTAATGTTGTAATTAGTAATTATTTATACTGTTCTGCTCATTTTTCGTTGTTATTTTGATTACCTAATGGAATTGAGGTAGATAAATAAGAATTTAGAGACTTTTTCCCTTTTTTTTTTTTTTTTTTTTTTTTTTTTGATTAACCTTAATGAATTGAGGTAGATAAATAAGAATTTTAGAACTTCTTTCCCTTTTTTTTTTTTTTTTTTTTTTTTTTTTTGTGAATGCTTTTAGCGGCGCATCTTCTGATTTTCTATTCACTTTTTCCCGATTTCGTTGGTAACGGTCAGGGGAAATGTGTTCTTAATAACTGTTGTTGCGTGGACGAAAATTAAGTCCAATAGTATTTCTATTTATTTGCATAAAAAAATTCTTATTTTTATGTTTATTTATTTGATATTTGAAAAAAAAAGCATTTATATTTTTTACTTCAGGTACATTTCTGTATCAAATGCAACAAAAAAAGGGAATTTTTTCAGTGAATGGTTAAAATATATTCCTTGCAAAAAAAAATTTAGGCTATAAACAGATTATAAATTAAGTATATATATATATATATATAAATATTTTTTTTTTTTTTTTTTCTATACCAAACCATATACTTAAATTTTGGAATTTTACGGATTCTTATTCCACTTTCATCATTTTAAGCAAAATAATTTTTGGTTGTAAGTTAAAAATAATTTATTGAGTTAAAAGTTAAAATAGTGTTTTGGTTTATGATTCACCATTTCACAATGTATAATTATGTGTAATAGCTTCCTCTCATATCCTTATCCAAAAACAATCAATAATATTTCTTCTAACTAAAGATTTATTTAACCCCCCCCCCCCCCCGGTAATTTTTTAAATAAAATGAAATAAAAGTTTCCACTTTCCTTTTTTTTAGAAAAATAAAAAAAGAGAGAATTTCCCCCCCCCCCCCCCCGGTAATTTTTAATAAAATGAAATAAAAGTCTCCACTTTCCTTTTTTTAGAAAAATAAAAAAAGAGAGAAATCCCTTCCCTCTTCCTCATTTGTAGCCCATCCACGTGGTTCTTCTTCTGTATTCTCCTGCAGATCGATCCTTTCCATTGTCAACTTCTGTTTCTCATTCTTTTTTTTTTTCTTTTCTTTACATATTTTCTTTGTTTTATATTGCAGAATATACATAACAATAATAATATTCTTTCTTTGTCTCACCTCGTTGTTGCAAGTTACTTCTTTCTTCTTTTCTTTCTTTGTTCCGCATTATTGTCTAATATTAATGTAATACCAGGTGAGGGATGTAATTGAACATATGTTGGATGATGATGAAGATATGGCAAATTTATACTTGACAAGGAAGTTGATCCAAGTTCAGGAATTGGAGGCTATGTTTGGAGGTGCATGACATTCAAATAGAACCACAACAATTAATGCACAGGCACCCCATCTCCATAGACTTGGTTCTAAAATGAGTGCAAGTTTTGGGGATGATATATAGAGGATTTGGAGATGATGTTTGAGGCATATTTTGTGCAGTTGGAAGGAATGCGAAACAAATTATTGTAAGTATTTCTTGCGTTGTTTACCACACTACATCGTGGATACACTGTCCTAGTAAGACATATTTGAGTTTAGCAAATGATCTCAGCAAAATCAGGATTTGATTCATAGAAAAACACTTGCAAACCACAGAATGAGATTAATCTCATTACACAAAAAGTATAAAAATATCATTTGAGTTCAGCAGACGATTTCCGCAAAAACAAAGTTCGATCTGTAGAAAAACACTTACTAATCCTAAAATGAGATTAGTGTCATTATTCGAAGAGTGTAAGGATATCATTTGAGGTCAATGGATGATCCTTGCAAAATCAGATTTTGATCTATAGAAAAACACTTACAATTCCAGATTAGTTTCATTACCCAAAGAGTATGAGGATATCATTTAAGTTCAATAGAAGATCCCTATAAAATTAGAGTATGCATAGAAAAACACTTACAAACCTAAAAACAAGATTAGTCTCATTAACCAAAAAGTGTAAGGATATCATTTGAGTTCAACGAATTATCTATGTAAAATCAGGATTCAATCCGTAGAAAAACACTTATAAACTTCAAAATGAAATTAGTCTCGTTGCCTAAAGAGCATAAGGATATCAAGGTTAATTAACTAGAAGCTGGTAATGGAATGTTGGTGCAGGTTCGAGAGTATATAAATGTGGCAGAAGACAATGTAAATGTTCAATTGGATGACGAGCGAAATGAACTGATTCAATTACAATTGATGTTGAAATCTTCAGTAGTGAGTATTTCCTTGCAATTGGCTATTTGTGGGGCTTTGAGTATGAATTTTTCTTGTGTATGGTACGAAATGCATGGCATATTTGGCCATACTGTTTCAGGTATAGTAATTGTTGGTTTTTCGTTTTTTATGTTTATTTTGAGATATGCCAAATGGAAGAACTTGGTTTGATTCATGAGTGTTATAATTAGCTTTTTTTTCTTTTCTTTTTCTTTTTTTTTTAAAAACAAAAACCCAATGAATTTGCATTATTTTTTGAAAGATCCCGGTTTTCATGCTTCGATGGGTTTCCGAAATCTTTTCTTTTTATGACCTATATTGTGCTATAGGGATGACAATCCATAAAAAAAACACCGATGTTTACATCTTTTTAAAACAAAGTGATAACCAAAAGAAATTACCGAATAGCAACATATAAATGAGTTGAAAGATGAAGGTGGATACTTGAATTTTATTGCAAAAGGTAATTTTCCTTTTAAGTATTTATCAATTGTAATTCTAACTAGGGTACATAACATCAGAATTTTTAAATGGAAAACCCAAAAAACAACTGAAATGAAACTTAATTAGTTACAACTAGCAGAACGACATCGTTTATTCGACCAATATATCCGGTTGATCTCTAAGGTTTCAAAATTTCCCATACGAATTAGGGAATGCCCTAAAAATTATGCAAAAGAAAGAAAAGCTTTTGACTGTAAATAAAGTCCTTATTTGCATATACATACACAAAGAAAGTTCTGACTTGTATTCCTTTTAGCAAGCCATTACTGCTACATTACACTATCAATGTTTTTTCCCTTTTATGTAGGACAGAGTACATTTCGAAATTTTGGTTTAACATATTTTATTTTGATTTTAATAGAGAAAAATCGAAAATTTTTTCAATTCAGTTTGTTTTTTTTTTAAAAAAAAAAACAGTATGTCAGAAATAGTTAAAACTATTTATTTCTATTTAATTCGATTATACATTATTTGATTTTGGTTCGGTTTGTCTCTAAAAAGTTTTCAATCTATTTAATTTAGATTAATTTAGTTCAATTTAAGTAAAAAAATTAAGTGTTCATCCTTATTTTTTTATGAGACTTGTTTGTTATCAAGTCTTTACCATAAAATCAGACATGTCATAGAGAATGGAATATAAACAAAATCATTAATTACATTTTTTTTTTTTTAAGTATTGGGAAGGGGATTCGAACTTGGATCAATTGTCGGGTCATATATGCACTTACCACTAGGCTATGCATCGGTGTGAAATCACTAATTACATTTGGATGTTTAGTATAACAATTTTTTATGAAAAAAAATCTTATATTCTTAAAATGGGGAATTTTGTTTGATTTTTTTTCTTTTTGTTTAAATATTACTATAAAAATGCAAGTGAATTACTCGGACTTGATTTGATAAATATTTAAACTCATACTTGATTTTAATTGAGTCTGAGTTTAAATTCAAACCAAGTTTAAATAAGTTGAATCGAAATTAAGTAATTTCCAACTTGATAAATTTGTGAATCTAATTCACAATTAAATTCTATATAATTTTAAATATATTTTATATCATCTATATTATTTAAATTATAAATTAATAATTCAAATCTAAACTCTAGCTCACTAAACAATCCAATAATAAGAGTTTTGTTCAGCAAAATTAGCTGTTTTAGTAGATGTTAGCTATTTGAATAGTTTTTTATAAAACGTTATAAACTAAATATTGCATGAGTTAACTTTTTATAAAACATTACTTTAACATCTAAAAACTAGCTCAAGCAGTATATTACTGAATACTATAAAAAATAATATTTTATATTTTAACTGATCAAAATACTAAAAATTATTTAAAAAATTATCGTGGAACGCATCGTAAATCAAGTTAAGCTCAAATTTGAAAATTAAAACTTTGAGTATAGGTATGAGTTCCCAACACCCTAACAAAGCCAAACTTGAGCTAAACACTATAGTACACCCACTCCACTTCACTCTATTTATTACACTCTATTCCACCCCTAGCCTAAGTTTAAAACATAAAAAAGAAAAAGAAAAAGGGATTAAGAAGCCAATGGATGGGAAAGAAGCCCACAACAAAATGGATTAACCAATCAGAAACTAGAAAGCCAATTTGCAGCCTTAGGCTTTATAGAGATGATGGACCAATGAGGAGACCCCACAAGCATTTCAATAGGGGCAAAATGTGTCAAATGGAATTCTCTTTTTAAGGTCATATTGGATTTTTTTTATGCATATGGAATTTTGTTGTCTCTTTCTTCACTTTTATGTGTGGGAGTTGGTTGGCTTATTCTTCTTTTTCTTGTTTCTTCCACTTTTTTTTTTTTTTTTTTTTTTTTTTCTTCTTCACTTTTATGTGTGGGAGTTGGGTTGGCTTATTCTTCTTTTTCTTGTTTCTTCCACTTTTTTTTTTTTTTTTTTTTTTAAGTTTATACTTTCCTCTCTCTTTCTTAGAATATAATGATTTTTCAACGACTTGCTAACACTTTACGTGTAATTAACTCACCTTTTTATTCATGGGATTTTAAGAAAATTTCCTAAATCAATTTTTTATAGCTTAGCTATCTTTTTCTCAAAAAAAAAAAGAAAAAGAAGAGAGAAAGAAAAGCAATTTAAGAAAAAGAGAGTGGATCAATACGTCATGACAGTAATAGGGTGCTGACACTTATAAAGCAATGTCTATAATAGTATTTTAAAGATTTTTTTAAAGAAAAAAAAAAAAAAAAAAAAAAAAAAAAACAAATTAAGAAAAAGAAGTGTCATCTCATAGTAACTATCTACCTTTAAAAGCAATGTCTAAATAGTATTTTAAGATTTTTATTAAGAAAAATTAAATCTTGCAAAAGAAAGAATGCTCATTCATATATATATACAGAATTTCAATTTTTGTGTTTTTAGTAATTTTACTATTATTTTTTTAATTTTGGTAATTTCATACAATAATTTCTCAAACTTCTATAGCTTTTACAATTTCAGATGAATTCTTGCAGTGACAAGTCTAAAAGGACATTTGTTTTAGCTTTTGACTCAGCCGATAGCTAATTGAGGTCCAATAGTTAGATTGAAAGTGTTTGAATATGATTTTAATCAGCAGCTGATAGCTGATAAAACTCTCAATTTGTTGCTAATCAGCTGGACCTATGGAGCTATGGAGCTTTTTGCAAGCTGCTTTTAGGATAGATTAAAATATCCTATCGCTAATAATGCAACATATCTTATCTTTTTTATTTTCTTCTAACGTTTTTTTTTTTAAATCCTCCGACTTCCTTTTTTTTTTTTTTATTCTCTTCCAACGTTATTATATTAAGATACATAGTTATTATAAAATGCTAAGACTTTATTAATCAAGGTACTTAGTTTAATTAATTTTTTATTTTTCTTATTTTTTAATTCATTAGAAATAGATTAGAAATCTTTTATAAGTAAATTTTAATTTATTTAAAAATATATCCTTATTGGTCATTTTACATATTAACAATAACAACTGATTGTTTTACCCATTATTCATCCTCTATCAGCTGTCTCAAACCGTCCTAAATTCTTTTATTTTATTACACGTCATATGGACAAAATTAATATAATAAAACATTCTCATATCAAACAATAATTATTTTATTAGCAACATAAATTACCAAAAAAAAAAGTAAGAAATTTAGGATTTTCATGTCAATAAATTTATATTTAATTTCATTTTAAATTGAAATGTTGGTCGAATTTCAATAAATTAAAAATTATTAAATAAAATTATCAAAATTAAAATCTATTATTAGCAATAACAATATCAAACTGACTTTCATAAAAATAATTAACGTAACTTTTTCATAATTAAAGAAATATATTTTTTCCGCGATAAATTAAAGAGATAATTATTTCACATTTATAGATCATTTAATGAAAAATAAAAATCTAAAAATATATTTAATTAACAACCATTTATCTCTTATGGTTGTTGAAGTGCTTAATTAAATTAAATCATTAATTAACAAAAAAAAAAAAAAAAAAAAAAAAAAAAAAAAAAAAAAGAAAAGAAATTACAGCTTAGTCCTTACAATTTGCAATTCACTTGAAATCAAGATCATTTTTTGTGACTCTTATCGAATCAATAATTGCAGACGTGAGAACCATTCCACATCAATCCTCAATCTCAAATGACAACTAAGCTAGCTTAAACCTGTATTGGTTCCTTTTGGAGCAACTACAAAAGTCTAAAGTCTACGGGCTCATGGGACCACTTCCATTCATAAATTATTTTTTTTTTTAAATCCATTTTAGTATATAAAAAAAAAAAAAAAAAAAAGAAAAGAAATACAGCTAGTTCCTACAATGCAATTCACTTGAAATCAAGATATTTTAGTGACTCTAATCGAATCACTAATTGGAGACGTGAGAACCATCCAATCAATCCTCAATCTCAATGACAACTAAGCTAGCTAAAACCTTATTGGTTCCTTTTGGAGCAAATACAAAAGTAAAAGTCTACGCATGGACCACTTGCCATCATAAATTATTTTTATTTTTAAATCATTTTAGTAATATGTTTTTGAAATAATTTTCCATGTATTTTGTTCTCAATTTTATCTTTCAAATTTGATCAAATGCAAATAATTTTTTTAGAGGAAATACAAATAATTTATTATCAAAATTCATACTGAAGAGTGAAGATTTACGCCCGATAAATTTAATAACGATAATTGATACTAATAATGATGTAAGTGTTTTTCGATTGAGGAAAAAGAACAGAATAATAGTAAAAAGTAATAATTTGTTAAATAAGTATTTATTAATTAGACATATGAGAATTGAGAAATTGATATATAAATTAACACATCCGATGCTCACATTTATTTTTTCATTTATCTCGAATTATAGTACTATTTTTATTTTGAAATAAAAAAATATTTATGATTTTTTTATTATACCTCTATTTAACTTGCATTTTTATCAATAAATATGTTACTATTATTAGCAATTTAAATCTTGAAATAATAACTAATTGAAACATGAACTTTTCATATTTTTAAACTAGAAAAAATATAAAAATATATTAAAAAGAAAATCAAAGTAAAAATTATAGTTTAACCATATTAATTATACTTTTTTTTAATCCGCATGAAAGTCAAATTAGACCTATTTTTATCTAACCAAAATAGCAATAAACTTAATTACTTATCTCATAAAAATAAGTAAAAAAAAAAAAATTAATATTCCCTCATTCCCAGTAAGATAATCAACTTTCTATTTTCACAGATTAAGAAAGTAGCATTTATTATGGTTAAAGGATAATTTTATTCATATAATTTTTCTATTATGCCCATCTCAAATAACACATAAGCGATTATTATATTGGAATAATAAGTAAGTATTAATGAGGGTTATGAAAATAAGATAAAATTTAAAAATGGTATAATAGATAATTTAAGGATTAAATGTAATGAAAAAAAAATAAAGTAGACTATATTTTGAGACAAACAAAAAAAAAACAAAAAGGATAGACTATGGGGAGAATAAAATAATTACTAAAACGTGCATTTAAAATACTTTGTTTTATGTGTTTAGTTTACATGTAATTAATGAATTTAGGTGACTAAAAGACAATTGCAAATAATTGTAAAGTAAAGTACAAACTAAATGACTATCTTAAGATTTTAGGTCAGAAGTACAAATTGAAATAAAATTCAAGCTCTCTCTTGAAATAAAAATAAATGAACATTTATTAATCATTATTATGGAAAATATTTTTAAATATTTTAATTTATAATTTGTGTACTTAAAAAATTTACATAAAACAGTGGGGCACACGTGCAATAATGGGCTTTATAGGGGTTGAAATTGTTAAAAAGCAAAATGGGAAGCTTCATAACACAAGAACAAAGTATATGGTGGATTTTTTACTTTTCTAATTAATTTTTTCAATCCAGTCCCTTTTTCAACCCCAAGTCTTCAACGAGAAGAGAGAGAAAACACAGACAGAGAGGGGCTTCGTTAAGAGGAAACAAAAACAGAAACCCTAAGAAAGAGAGAGAAAGAAGAAAGTATCTATTCGATTCTTCTCCTTTTCCAATTGCATTTCAAGATCTCAATTTTTCAATCCACAAAAGGTACAAACTTTTGTTTGTTAATCCTCCGTTTTTCTAAAACAAATAACTTTCTGTTTTTTGATTTCCAAATACGAATCTGTTTCCGTTTCTGCTACTAATTTGTTAAAATGAGCTCAGATTCTAATTGGGGTTGGCTCTTTTATCGTACATTGCTATATTTTGATAAAATTAATCACTAATTTCATTCTCTATTTATATCCATCTCTTGTTTTGTTATGGATAATACGCACTACGTGACTCGGTTTACATCTGATTTTGGATTGCTTGAATTTCTTAGACTTTTGTTTGGTTGCTGCAAAAATTTCTTAGATATAGCAGAACTTGCCATTTTGAATTCTGGGTTTCTTTTCTTTTGTTCTATTTTTGTTTTTTTTGTTTTTTGTTTACCCCTGGACCTGAATAAATATGAGCTTTTGCTCGCTTGAATTTGCTTTCTTCTCTTGGTTGGTTAGTAGCTTATGGTGCGTGAGAACCGGAAAGTATATGTGCTTTACCTTTTTTTTTTTCTTTTGTACTGTTAGATTAGAATTACAAATTTCTGCTGGGTGTGATCAATTTGAAATATTTAGGATTGATCGGTCTTCAGCTTTTATTTCACTGTAAATCATCGCCGAATTTCTAAACTAGAATTGGAAAGGATTCTGAAAGCAATGTTCATAAAATTGCTGTCATGTGCATTTGTGACTTCATTTAGATGGAACTAAATAGTCTTGAGTTTTGTTGGTTGAGTAATGGAAAACCTGCCTTATGAGGCCATCACCAGAGAAAAAAAAATGTTATTCATAGTGCCTCTAGAAAAGTAAGCTGGGTATTTTGTTCATTTCTTGAACTTAGCGTATGATGTGAAATAGTAATATCTATTAGTTCAAAATTGGGGAAGCAGCAGATGTTTTGCTTTTGAGATCTGAAGCAAAAGGTAACAGCTGTAACAACAAGGTCATAACTAGACTATGTAAACCTTTGAAGGAATAATAATTTTTAATTTTATTCAGAAGGTTAGTGTTGGATTACTAAAATCCCATACACCATGGCCAACATATATATTGCATAGCAGTTACTGGTATCCTATTTTCATAACCAAATTTAGAGCTTATATGCTAAATACGTTCTGCATATGCTTTCTTTTTGTAGGAATCGATTTGGCATGTTATTGCTCACATTTCTACCCTGAACATACCGAGATAACTAGAAGAAATTTAGGTGATCAATGTCATGCTCTTCTGTGTTGATTTGTTGATGATATTATGGTGGAATGATTTTCAGAACTTAACTGTGTATATTGTAAATAGTTGCCTTTTTTCTCTCTCTTTTTTTTTTATTATTTTTTTTTTAATTTGATCATATGTATATATGTGTATATTATTTTTGATTGTATATCCTTTGTGAATTGCTCCCAGTGAGGCTCCTCTTTATTTTTGGTTTGAAAAATATATATGCCTCATTTTCTCAATCAACCTCTTTTCTGTTGTCAATCAATTTTTTTAATGATTTTCTTTGACAGGGACTGGTGCTTATTTGGCTATGGCAAATTCTAAGGGGTCGTCAAACGTTAGAAATTTGATGTATTCTGGAAAGCATGCTTTACTTCCTCCAAGGATTCCATTTCCTAGTGTTACTCCATCATATGCTGACTATGTACCTAATAGTGTAGTTGGATCAAAAGCTGTTCAAAGGCCTAGAGAGGGAAATGCTCATCACCAACGAACGTCCTCTGAGACATTTCTCATGGAGGAGCAACCTTCTTGGCTTGATGATCTCCTTAATGAGCCTGAGACACCTGTTCGTAGAGGTGGTCATAGGCGTTCCTCCAGTGACTCCTTTGCATATATAGATGTAGCTAATGCTTCTAACATAGAGTATGCAGCACAAGATGAGTATAGACAGAAAAATATTATGTCAATACCTTCTTGGGGATCTCAAGACTTTGATTATCACAAAGATGCTCGACAAACCTCTATTTATGCTGATGTGAACATGACAAAACAGAAAAATAGGGCTCGGGATTCATCTTTGAATTCTGCTACACGTCTCAGTGGGCTTCCTTCTGCAAGGGAGAATGCTGTTTCACAGATGGGATCATCATGTGTTCAACAGGAATCAGATGGGTTCCAATCTTCAGTGAATGAAAAACAAGATTCAGCTGATTCTTTTCCTCATGATTCAAAAACTTCATCTGAAAAAAAGGACGCTTCTCATGCCAAGTCTTCAGCATCGGAGACTGATACAAAACGTGCTAAACAGTAAGTACTTTATAAAATTAGTTTTTCTTATTTTTCTCTAATCGTGGTTAGCTTTGATATTGCTTTTATATACTTCATGGATTAAACCGCATGGTTTCTGCCTTTGGTTTCTTCTCCTATTTATTGTCCAAGGATGCTTGACGCAGAGCATTGTTGTAGACTTGTCAGCTTTAATCTGTGTGATGAGCAATGATTTCGAAATTGAAAGCATAGTGTTTGGGATCTCTCGGCCCCCCCCCCCCATAAGGCAAGGCATGAGTCTTCTGAAGTTGGAGTTTTTTTAATACAATGGATTAAACTATCATGATAGCAGTTAGCAGATAAAAGATAAAGTAATTGGAAGCAAGTCAGCAATTCAGTGTCAATCATCATAGTTGAGTAGAAAATTTTGAACTTTTGTGGAAGCAACTAGTCACATTTGTGAAGGTAAAAGAGATAAGGGGAGAGTGGGGGCTATTTGGAATCCTTTCTATTTCTGGTTTTTGGTTTCTGTTTTCTAACTCAAAAGTTGGTTTCTTGGAAATCAACCTGATAAAACACGGAAAAACTACTTTTAATGGTTTTCTTTGTTGTGATGACCCATTTTTCTGTTTTGAGACACCAAATCGTAAAAATAAAATGACTTTAATAATCAGTCTTTCTTTTATATTTGAGAACCAAAAAAAAAAAAAAAAAAAAAAACTACTTTTAATGGTTTTCTTGTTTGATGATGACCATCTTTTCTGTTTTGGTGAGCACCAAATCGTTAAAAATAAATGACTTCTATTAATCAGTCCTTCTTTTATATTTTTGAGATACCAAAAAAAAAAAAAAAAAACAAAAACAAAAAACCAAAATATAGCGCAAGGGGCCTAGAGGAACCAAAAAAAAAAAAAAAAAAGAACAAAACCAAAAACAAAAATAATAGCGAAGGGGCCTAGGAATGAGCTAATTGGAAAGATTTATGAGTTTGTGGTTGGGAGTTGCATATGATTTCTACTTGTTTGTGCTCATAACTGTTTACCTTTATGATCAGGATATATGATTTCTACTTTTTTAAGCTTATTATCATTTTGCCGTTTTATGACATCATTTGTCTGTAGTCTTACATTTGATGACATGATCGTATGAATTAAGAAGAGTAAGAAGGGATCTGCTTGAGAGTTGGGGGTTAGATTGAACTCATGTCCTCTTTACCGCCCCTATTTTCTTTTCCAATATGATGATAATGTTTGAGCTATGTGGAAGAGAACCATGGATAGAATGTCAATATATTGATTTTGTTATGGCATGCAGAATTTAATTGCTCTAGTGCTGAAAGAATAAATTTCAAAGGAATGAAACATGAAAACAAGTAGTTATTCGGCATAAACTATTGGTTCGCTTCTTATCTCAGATAACCTGCTGGTCCTTAAAGTGCGACCAACCAGCATGAAAGAGCGCGAGTACCAACTCCAATCCTAGCTAATAATTTCCATTATTCTTCCTCTAATGTCGGTATATATGTCGAACTCAGGTTTTTTGGCTTGTGCTATGGCCTGGTTTATGTTCTGTTCAATCTCTTTTGAGAATCAGGGCTATATTTGATTTTGTGGTTTTATAAGTTTATGCATGTTTGGTTTTTACTTTAAAAAATTTATTGTGTAAGAAAGCATAGTACACAAATATGTGAAGTTGAAAAGTTTTGCTTCCTCTGGAATGAGTTGATAAGTTACATAATATATATAGGATAGTAAAACTCGAATATTATCTAATGTAGGCAATTTGCTCAACGTTCTCGTGTCCGGAAACTTGTTACATAATATATATAGGATAGTAAAACTCGAATATTATCTAATGTAGGCAATTTGCTCAACGTTCTCGTGTCCGGAAACTTCAGTACATAGCTGAGCTGGAAAGGAATGTACAAGCCTTACAGGTAAAGTATCAGTAACCTGCAGAAGTTTAACTATATAATTTTATAGTTAATTGAAAGAGTATATAATAGGCATTGTTTAAAGAGTAATTTTATATCTCCTACTTTGCAGGCAGAAGGATCTGAAGTTTCAGCTGAGGTTGAATTTCTCAACCAGCAGAATCTTATTTTGAGCATGGAGAATAAAGCCCTTAAGCAACGTTTAGAAAGCATAGCTCAGGAGCAGCTTATCAAATACTGTAAGTTTTGGCTCTCAATTTCTTCAGGTTGAGGTGTTAAAAATATTGTTTTATTTTTACCTTCATGGCTGGCTTGGTTTCTCAATTGTGTTTCCCTCAAATAGTAATGTCATTATGACAAGATCTTTGGTTAGAATTATGGTGTCATGTTTTGGTAATGTCATTTACAAATTTTGCCAAAAGACCTTCATTGCCTGATGCTGATAGCCAAAAATACCCTTGATATTTTGTTATGTCTTTATCACTATCATTATCCACCCCGATATCAAAACAAAAAAAAAAAAAAAAAATAAAAAAAAAAAAAAATCGATTATGCCAAACCCGCCAACCAGACAAGACATTGCAACATAACTGTGATAAAATCCACAAGGGCAAGTTGGGGAAAGATTTTGAACAAGAGGATATAAGATTTGTCCCTTATGTGCGCATGAGCTACATTCCTAGTTATTTATTTCAGCTGGAGGGGTGGCTAATTCATGCAGAAGTATGCTACCAAAATAACCCTATTCGAGTCCTTTCAATTTTTACATGCAGAATATGCTACCAAAAAACCTATTGAGTCCTTCAATTTTTATTTGACCCATTGAATTCTTGAATTTTGTTTCTATATCTATTAAACACAATCTGTCTATATAAATAGATGCAAATGTATGCAAATTTTGACATATCACTCCATAAAATCCCACTGCATCATAATCTATATCTAATTTTTTCAAAATAACATAATAAATTATATTCAGTATACATATTTCTCTCCATTTTCACCACTTTCATCTCTCAACATACAATTCAACCCTCCTTTTTCTCTCTCTTCATTTTTATCCATATATAATCAAAGTATCAAAGTATCCAAGCTCTTTGGCAAATTGAGTTCAATGAATACAAAAATGAACATTCAAGGGTTCAATAGATCAAAATAAAATTTGGAGAGCTTAATGTGCTTTTATGCGGAGTATTCCTTTGAAGAGAGAACGTTGAGGAATGCATTTTCGAGCATATAAGAACTTTATGCATAGAAGCAGTTTGGGAATTACTAGGTAAATGATTTGGTAGACCTTCAAGGCAGTGCGATCTTGCTTAAAATTTTACCAACTGATCACTGGCGTGTAATAGAAGATTTGCCCTGTGCGAGAGAAATATTGAAACTTCCATTTTGTTGATGTTCTTTGTAGAATTTCTTTTTAGAGAATGTTGCAAATTGTGGAAGGCTTTTGCCTTTTTCTTCTTTTTGCTAATGATTCTGCCTTAGTATTAGCCAGATTCTTTTTGCTAATGATTCTGCCTTAGTATTAGCCAGATGATATTGCCAGTTTTTTGCTTTATCTTAAGTAGTAAGGGATAGAATGGTTGTTGAAGATGGGGTCTTGGCTTAAATGTCATATACTAATTGTCAAAGGAAATTTCTTCTGGAAAAACAGTTTCCAGCTTCTATGCAGCTGAGTTGAGCCTTGCAATATTTAGCTTGAAAGACTTTTTATGCAAGAGTGAACCATGTCTGGTAGAGTGCGGTTTAGTTTTCCTTGTTTGACTTATTGAGAGGAAGTTTCATTGCCTCTTCAGATTGAAAAGCAAAAGTCTTTTTCTTTTTGTCTCTGAATGCTTTTTAAATTTTCACATATATGCTGTACTTGAGTTTATGCATGTACATGCATATGTTCACATTAAGTTCTGCAGTCTATTAGGAGACTGAGGAGAAGAAATGGTGTGATGGGATGGGATGCGGACAGAGAGACATATTGCAACACTTGTTATCCTTATGTTGGCTGACATTACTGAAATTATGTTGGCTGACATTACTGAAAGAAACTAATATTATGATTTTTCTTTGTTGCAGCCTGGAACTAATCTAGTAAACTACTGAAGTACTGAATAAATCATTAAATTATCCAGAAAACTAATCTTGTGTCCACTTGTGCTGGTCACCTTGTTGAGTGCTAGACTTATTTTCTGCTTTCTGAAAGCTTTCTCTTCGGATGAATTGCTTTTTTCCTGAAAATTTTAGGTACAGAGATGATGTAGGAAGACATCAAAATGAAAATGGCTAATACAGTCAGGAGAAAATCATTTAGCTACCTTGTTGGATCTGTTCGCAAAACTGAGAAAGTGTATCTCTGGTCTGGCCTGAGAAAAGGTCAGGCTGAGGCAAGGGTTTTTGTCTCCTGGCCCGAACCAACCTAGGCCTGCAACTATTAGGTCAGCTGGGCTTGTGATTTGAATATGTTAGGGCCTGACCTACCTGGCCTACTGGAAGAATGAAAAACTAATATGTTACGTATGTTGTTTGTAGTGCTCGGTTAGGTCAGGCTTGTGCCCGACCCAAAAAAAGAACATGTTTCCACATTGTGTATGTATGTGTTTATCTTTTTGATTTTTGAATTATATAACGGATGCTCAACCTTTTGAGGGTGCTTTCAGTGGAGCATGAAGTCTTGGAGAGGGAGATTGGGAGAGACTACGGGCCTTGTATCAGCAGCAACCAGCAAACAGCCAAGCAACAGCAGCAAGAACCATCTTCCAGCCATCGCCGAACTAACAAGCAGGGACCTTGAATCCCAGTTTGCAAACCTCTCCTTTGAAACAAAAGGAAATGCCAATTCTGGTCGTGATCCTCTGGTCGTGATCCTGTGACAGGTCCACTCCGCACTTAGATAAATAAATTAACCAGAGATTTGTTGTGCCACCATTTTGCTTAGTTGGGCTACCACATTAACCATCATTATTTTCTCCTCGAGTGGGGTAAAGCCGAGTTCCTCCAGTCTCCATCCCATCTCTGTACCTGATTTGCACAATTTATTATTACTTTGTTTCTTGCCCCTCTTTTCGTTTGATAAAATTAATATCTTCACGTGCACCTGGTTGTCATTGCGGGAAAATTATGTTTTCAGGCGAGATGACTTACCGGAGGTGGTAACTTAAAAGAGGTTCCATATTTGGTCTCTTCTGTATGTTCAGATGATTATAATTCAAAATTCAGGAAATTTATGTGCTCCACTTGTAACTCCATTTTAAGTATCTTAATTCGTGGAGTCGAGATGTAGCGAAGTGGAGTCGAGATGTAGCGAAGGATGTTTAGAGCATGTTGGATCTGCGTCATTTGTAATGGTGTTATTCCAAAGAAACGCTTTCTTGTAAAATCTGTTAAATGAAATTCACGTCTTCTTGCTTATTTTCACCGTTATGAGAAGGCCTGAGTCCCTATGATTTTTTATTGAATCTGAGGGTGTTCTTGATCATGCAATAGGAAAAAAAAAAAAAGAAATTTTAAAAAAATTCATATTTCCATTGGTTTAGTTTATGAGTGGATTTTAAGATGTGGTAATTCTATGGTAAATCAGATCACGGTTAGGTCTAATAGATTGTTTTGATAATATGTTGAAACTTAAAACTGATGGCATTAAAAAGATGGGCCTTAAGTTATGTCATACATGATGTTGCAATGAAAGAAAAAAAATTAAAAAAGAAAAAATTAGTAAAAATAATTATGAGAGATTTATAATTGAGAGATTTATAATATCATGTCCTGAAAGAAAACATAATTGATGTTATGAATTAATGTTTAGGATTAGATTTTAAATATCTATGTCCTGAAAGAAAACATAACTCAAGAATATGGATTGATTGTGAGGCAACTACGGAAGGTTTCGTGGGAAATAATGTCCGAAATGGATAAGGAAAAAACGCTAATTGTACGGAAGGCTAAAACTATTTTTGCTCGCGCCATCTTAGACTCGTAAGAAAAAATGCTTATTACAGCGGGAATTTTCTCTTTTTAAAAGAATCAAACACTCGTATGACTTGAGTCATTTTTACTCGGAATAACCCTGTTTTGTGAGTTTGTGTATATATTTTTAATCATTAATTAACGGGTTATAATTAGTTAGTTTTTCTTGCATACTATACCGGATTTATAGTTTGAATAGGTACAATATCGTAAACATAATCAAAGAATAAGAGTGCCGACATGCTTTTGATCATAGGGCATAAACTCAGTTTAGCATATTTAATTTGGCCTTGTCGGTTATGTCACTATAAAAAAAACGGCATTTTGCGACCGACAAAATGCCAAAAAATCGGTCGCTAAATTCAATTAGCGACCGATGTGCGATCGATATTTTTCGGTCGCAAATATGCTCGTCGCAAAATGTTTTGCGACCGATTTTTTCGTCGGTCGCAAATTGGTCACAGAAAATTCTGTCACAATTCGGTCGCAAATTGTAATTCGGTCGCAAATTGTAAATTTAAAATTTTTATTTTTGGTCGCTAATCGGTCGCAAATCGGTCGCAAAATTAAAAAAATTAAAAAAAAAAAAAATAGAATGTACAGCTGCAAATTTAGGAAAGACTGCAAAAAGGCAAAAGTCAGCATACATGCTTTAGCAAATAGAATGTACCAGGCTAGTAGTGATTGGCAAAAATACTCCACAGTAAGTATCTCAACAAATAAAAGAGTTAAGAAAAATAACTAAAATCTAAGTTACCAAACAACTATAAGTGGTTAACTTCTTCAGAGAAATAAAGAAAATGAAATTTCCTTTTTCAAACCCTTCTAAATACGTCCATAGGAAGCTACACTTAAAAACTTCAATGTTGATAAAAGGAACGTTACAAAACTTTCAGTATAAAACTTCAAAAATGCCCATTTATACGAAAAACTATTACATATAAAACACCAGTATAAACTCCTGGTATTAACCACAAATAAAAGGTAATAATTCTTTGATAATTCTTTGTCTTCAGAATTCAGACACTATACATTTGTTCAAAAAAATCACTAAACAATTTTATCAACATTGAATAAAATCTATCAAATTAAAAATAAGGCATACAAGCAATTATGATGTTATTTTGCAAGATAAAAAAAAGCACAAACAAAAGAATAAAAAATTGATCATTTCATTATTTCTTTTATCAGCTACCACGCTCAATAGCATCCTCAATAGCAGCATCTAACATCTCAGTGAAGGAAGGGTGAGCAAATGCAGTAACTAAAGGTATACCTTCAGGATACCTGGACTAAATTGGAGTGCAGGTTCACAATTTTGATCAGACAGAAGCATTCTCAAGTAGTCAATAAAGTCAATCGAAATGCTTAAAACCAATTGCTATGCATCCTAGGAGCAGGAAAAATTATTCCAAATTTCAAAAAAAAAAAAAAAAAAAATTCAAACATGAACTCAATCAACATGAACTCAATAAAATACCTGCAAGAACTGGACAGGCTGGGAAATTCCAAGTTTGTTCAGAGTGTCATAGCTTATAAAAGAATTCTGCAGCAAAGTGGAAACGGTAAATAATAAAGATAGCAGTAATCTTTTTTTGTCTTACAGGGTAGAAAAGTGCAAAAGGAAGAGAACTACAAGTGTCACTCAGCATTATGGAATATTGTAGAAATTTGCATTAAGATAGCAAAGCTACATGATTGAGCATTATATTCAAAATATGTTTAATGAGATATTGAGAAACTGGCAATGCATGAGCTTTTGCAACTCAATAATGCAAACTTAAAAATAAGACTCAAACCTGTGAAAAGAAAGAATCCACGCACTCCTTTTGAGCAGTGGCAAAGACCTGTTGCACAATTAAACTTGATATAAGAAAAAAAATCACAACAAACAGTTTGCCTATGTACCATTTATGGTCTCCTTAACGTGTAAAGAGAAAGATGAATAAGAGTGTCTCAATCAAATAAGGCATGATAATTAAAAATAAAAAAAACAAAGATAAAAAATAACAATTACAGAATGATTAACAAGGAGATGTCAATCAACTTTTAATAATGAAAAAATTAAATCAAATTGTAATCACTTGTGAATCTTCACCCGATGAATGCAGCTGAATCTGAGAAGAGGATAGGATAATACAACGAAGAGAAGAGATGAAAGGGTTTTGTTGAGGTATTTTTGTTCAATTCAACTGGGCATCTCTAAAACATGGCGTGCAGTTGGGCGCTCTAATATTTTGCCCTAAAAAATTATATGGGCAGTGGTAGATATTTAATAATTCGCCCCTAATTTAGTGCCCTAAAAAAAATCGAAAAAAAAATTGCAAGACTTACCTCAACTTGTGTCCAAATAGCAATGGAGTGACCGGAGTTGCAATGGAGCAGAGATGGCGGCGTCAGGCGGGCTGGAACGGCGTCAAGAAGGACTGGAGCGGCGCTGCGAATGGAGGAGAGGAGAGGAGGGAGAGGAGGAGGAGAAGAAAGAAGAAGGAAAAAGAAAGAAGAAGGAAAAAGAAAGAAGAAGGAGGGCGTCTGGCATTTAAAGCCCTAATATTTGCGACCGACTGGTCGGTCGCAAATGTCATTAATATTGGTCGCAATTTTTTAACTCGGCGACGTCGTTTTACTTCGCAATAAAATTGCGACCGATTTGCGACTCAATTTGTCGGTCGCAAATCAGTCGCAAATCGGTCTTAGAACTTATTCCTAATTTTGAAGCGCGCAATTTTGCGACGGAAAAAATGTAGTCGCAAATCGGTAGTATACTAGTCGCAAACTGAAAAACAAACTATTTTTAGTGCTACAATTAGAGACTGTTTGTCTATGGGTCGAATTCTGGTCGCAAAATTGCGACCGAATTTTTAGGCGATCGCAAAAATCGATCGCAAATCGGCGATTTTTTTTTGTTAGTGGTCTAACAAGAAGCACTATAATATATATATATACTATATATTATATTATATATATATATATGATATATATATTATATATACACAGGTTCTAGAATTTAAGCTGCTATTATAGCACGTGACACAAATTAAATATATATAGATTCAGGAACAACTAATGATAATTTTTAAGAATGTCCGATATTATTGTATTAGACCCACTGTACAGATTTTTTAAAACACGAGTCCCTCTCATTATCTTTTTTTTTTTTTTTTTTTTTTTGAACTCTGTTTTCATATTTATCCAAAAAGATAAGATCCACACACGTGTCTCCATGCTTAAATTAGAATTATATTGAGAAAAAATCTTTTCAATAATAGATTAGTATTCAAATAAACTCTTCTTAATAGTGAAAATTTCATATTTCAAACGTTTGACCTTTAAATTTGTTTGAAAATACATTCTATTTTTATATAATTTTTTTTCTTTTAACAGTTAACGTTAATTATTAAAAATTAAAGATTGAGTGAATTGTCAACCATACTAATAATTAACAAGTGACAGATTGATAGCTAGGTTATTTGGTATAAGCCAATCAATCATACATTTAATTAATTTTCAATTAATTAACTATGATATAATAACACAATTTTTTTTTAAAAAAAACAATAAAATATTATTTTAATATTATTTTATATAATATATAATTCATGAAAGTATTTAAGAACCTAATAGTATCAAAATATAAGAGACAATAAATGAAGTGGTAAATCGAAAATTAGGACACCCCCCAATTTTGAGGAGAACCAAAATTACCAAAGGAATATTTTTTTTTAATTA